TCAGCAGCGGCAGACACGGAAAATCTTCCATTTGGATGATACATATCCTGGAGATCTAGATTGCAGTGATTCAGGGCTAGATGCATTCAGGACTTTCCAGTCACAATCCCTTGTTATCTTTTCCTCCTCTGCTGTCCTTTTTCACATATGCAGGTTTTTGGACGCAAAGCTGTAAGAAAAAATTAAGTGCTGTTTTAAGACACTGCCTGTATTAACAGTGAAGCCACAGACTAAAATTAGGAAGAAACATACCCATTTCTCCTTCCATCCCAGAATGAACGCTAAGCTACTCCTCTCTGTAACGTTTCTTACATTGACAGTGAGCACTGCCAATTTTTTCACAGTCCCATGGAGTCGCTTGCCTGTGGAATCTGGTCTGAATTCAATGTTAACACTGTTCTCAGTAGGAGGTTGGACCCTCCCTCAGGAGGGGACCTCCTGAGGTCTCCTCCAACCCAAATCATTCTACAAATATATGCTGTCAACCACTGCAGCTGGTACCAGTAAGTACTACAGAGGAGACATGGGGCAGACGGCAATAGGCAATCCTCAACTGATGACTTCAGAGGCATCCTGTGTCCTTAATGCTTGGGCAATAGGTGTGATGGTCACAGCAATGACAGTTACTCTTTACTGGACATAGAGGATGTCTGCACTGGAACCCAGGGTGTCATTACAACAGGCAGAGATGCTCACAATACTTTAGACGCAGCTAGTGCTAATACACTTATAACTCTGAAGATGTATTTGTACAGGCAACAGCATTTTCAAATCCTTCTCCTACAGAAGTGTTATTAAAAGCCATCAAATAATTTCTGTAACACTTTCCAGAGGAACTAATTGGAGAAAGTGTCATGCTCAGGAGAGAAAACCGATCATGAATATACCAGCTTGGCTGAGAATTTGTAATGTATTTAGGGAGCTATCTGAGTAATTTACAATGAATGACTGGGACTCTTCAGACTACAAATACAATCTACTCTTTCTCCTCGGGGAAAAAAAAAAAGAGGTTGTCTTTTTAATTATCACTTTGTAAGAGAAAAGACCAACCAGAAAGACAGTAGGAGGAATAAAGTCAACATGTTCTCCCCCTTGTTACACTTACTGTGATTTTGGATTTGTTTGAGGAGCAACGAGCAGCTAATTCTGAGACAGATATGCATCATCTCTTAATCTGCTTAGAAGGCCAGCGAGGATGCAATGAGCCTATTATTCCAAAAGTTATCTAGGAACCTGCGCAATTAACACCAGTTTCCAGTTGATCTTCAGCCAGTTTCTTTCCTGACAACTTCTGCATATGTGTTGGTATAAGCCATGACTACACACCACACACATCTTCAATTTCTATCATCCACTTTCACATTTAGATATAGTATAAAAACCCACCGGAGTATGACATTCCTGATTTGCCTTCCTGTGGCAGAAAAGTAGAGCAAAGACGACAACAGTAGAAGACAGAACTAACCTGGATCAGCCACAGCCTGCTTCTTTTTGCTGCTTGTGACAATCTCGTTCTCATTCATCATTCGTACATCCTGATCTCCCACATGATTGCTGTAAAGATTAAAATCAGTACAAGAGCCAAAATAATCAACGTTGTGAAAAGTCACGAGAGACACGGAAAAGGTTACCAAATAAGTTATTTAGGTCCTGGAGGCTAAACAAAGCTATGAAGCACAGCCACAATGTATGAGACTCTCTAGAAAGGAAAGGCATTCTGTCTACATCCACCTGAAGGATTTCTTGCTGATTTTAATTAGTGGCATTCATTCAGGCACACATTCAAACATAGGCATCAAATTTGCTCTACAGTTTTCTTGCCTGCCTACACAGCTTGAACCACATTAACTAAAGTGAGTTTTTAAATCAATGCTGTACAAAGAGGGTATAAAAATCCCAATATGGAACTTAACATTGTTTTGTAATGTTGATAAAGCATTATTTGAAAATTTTCTGAACTAACCAAAATTCATTTACTGTGACAAGTTTTGTTCGCAGGGTGCTGCAAAATTTTAACAATTTCTTTTTGGGAAAGAAGTAATAACTTCACAGTTAAATTAAACTAAACAAATTACAGAAAAAAATGTGACCTGAATTGAAAGTTGAAGAAAACATTACTAAAGACGTCTCCCTTTCACACAGACATAAACAAAACATCCATACCTTTGGAAAAAGAGAAGTGTATTTTTCTTTTCTCTACAAATACTGCATAAAATAGGCTTCTGTTTTTGGAGAAAAATGTAATGTCTCTCAAACTGTCAGAATGAAACAGGTGAACCAATACTGAAGTAAATCAGAAGTTACGCTATTGATGATAATATCAGACTCCAGCTCAGATTTCATAAAATATTGAACAATGACATGTGAAAGACAATAGGCCAAAATCAGAAGTAACAATATATAAACGCTCAAGAGCACTTTTAAGATGGAGAGACGTTATCCAGCACTTCGTAAGGGATTTGTCTTCTATTGCTGAAGTACCCCATATTTTAGTAGGGTAGTAGGTGAAAAAAAGGAAGAGAGGTTCGCAACACAGGCTAAGACGACCAAGAAAGCTCCTGCTTTCTTGCAGGAGAGAGAAAGAGACTCAGCATGTTCTTGATCGGAAAACAGATCATGCAGTTTGCATGACCCCAAAAGTACACCCCTCTTAAAACTAAATCACAGGATGCATGTCTTAGAAATATGTGCAAAGGAATTTATGTCAAAAAGATCTATGATTACAGCTGGTGCTTCTGTGCTTCCAAGCAAACAACTTTACTCATAGAAAGATGTTAAGCTGAAGAAACTAAAGGTTCATTTCTCCTCCTCCTTTTTATATCCCACTGATAACTTTCTCAAAACTTGCATTTCCTCAAGACATTTTCATTTCAGTAACTTTTTCACTTGAAAAACCGGTTACCTCCAAATTTTACCATGACAACACAGCCACTTGTAAAAAAACATGAGCGTAATACAATACATCAAAACAATAATAATTTCTTTCAACATCTGACAGCACCAGTGGCCAACGGCCAATGCTTTAGAGAAACACAGGAAAACAAACTCTGTAGGCAAATATGAACTTCTGTTCTTAATCAGAACAGCTTATGTTCCTTCCACTTATTCCTAAATATTTGAATATTCTTCTGAACAAATCATGTGCCATTTTTGAATGCAAAACTGTCGCCTTTTTCCAACTGATGTATGTGCAAGACTTTCTATTTGTTAGCTGTGCAATGTGTAAGAAAGTGTTTATTTCTATAAGCTTTCGATTTTTCACTTTTCAATCTCATTTAAAATAAATTATTCTTTCAATCTTTATTTTCCTTGCTAGGGACTGTTTTTCAGACCCTATTAATCCTGACCTCCTAAATACAAGAGCATTTTTCACTGCATTTCATCGTATTTTCTGCAAGATTGCCAAGTTAGTGGTTTCAAAGTGCTATTCCTCTGAATGAAATTCATTTTTCATTTAAGTAGTTCACTATTTTAGAACGCTTATAAAATAGTAGAATTCTGGTTCCTTAATTAGTACCTGTGCCAAATCAAAGGACTTTCTTTAGTTTTGATGTTTGGTTCTTTTTCATTAACTTCCTATTTTTTTTTTTCCCTCTGTGTAGTATCATTGGGATATATCATTTTTCTCTAAGGAAGCCTAACTTACTTCTTTTGTGTTTATTACTATAGACTTCCATAAAAACATATGTAAATATGAATCATGAATCCGAGTAAGCGCTAAAAAATGCTTACAAATTAAGTGGGTAATTTAGTCCTAGTATCTAAAAAACTATTGGTTATTTCTCATTAAATGAGGCTGAGTATGCTTTGGAAGGGAATTTTCTATAGCAATATACATTGTTGCTGACATTAGTCACATAAAAACATTTTCTGAAAACAAGATTCTTTCTTCCAACCAAGATCCACTCACATACCTAATAACAGTTCTCTTCTCCTGATGGCAAATCTTCTCATCATCTGTGAAAAGAATGGTATGGTACAGGACCACTGGCTCACAGGTTGGTAGGATGCCTGATACTACATGGTTCACCATATCCAGAATCCCATTGTAGACAAGCAAGTCGTCCACCAGAAGCTAAAGATATTTAAGAAAGAAACAAACAAAACATCCAGAAATCAAGCATTGATTTCAGCCGTTGTCTCCATCAATTACCCAGAAATTATCTTGCCGTGTTTGTTTCACAAATCTGGTCATTAGTTTAGCTTTTCTTCCTTAAAGCTTCCATTTCTCTTTATTCACTGCTGGGTTTTGATTTTTTTCCCCCAAAGTTTTTGTCTTCTTGCTGATGTTTCTAATGCAGCTTTCAAGTAGGTAATTAAAAACGTATTTCATGTTTTAACATAATTGCCATTCTATGAACTGGAGTGAATCACTCTTAAATCTAGCAATTAATGAATCTCAGCTCACTTCAGCTGTCGAAAACTTGGATTTGTAGTTTAAACTAGTCTTCCAGGCCTGCTCTATAGTCAGTAGAAAAAGGAAAGCATTACCCTGTCTTAAGACAATTATCTAAGAAAAAAATCAGGTAAAGTGTTTTTTTTCCCTGGACAAGAAAGGGAGGACAGATGACTGGCATAGATTAGTCATTTTAATACAAAATGCAGAGTTAAATGAGACGAATCCCATCCTTTGAGATTTTATGGAATCACACTTCAGTAAACTGTGAAAATAAGTACAGAAATCAAGCAAGCTGACTCACCAGAACATACAAAATGCATACAAAATATTACTTACACCGAATTCTTTCACACCTCTCTGAGGCGTTTTGGCATAATTCCATAACTTGATCATTGACACAGTAGTAGGGACATCAAAAATTACATATACCCTATTCACCTGTAAAAGAGAATAAATTTATATTTAACAGCACAAATTCCCCAAAGAAATTAAATTCTCATGCACATTCCATCAAAAGAGTTCCATATTTAAAGAGATGCAGCTAGAGGACAGATAACTGATGCTAAGGATTTGAGTTCAGCTACCATCGCTGTTGATAATTCACAGACGCCGTCTCTGCCCCAGAGCTGCCCTCTCAAATGTACATATAACTCATCAGAAGACGACATCTACACCTGAGCTTGTCACCCTGGATTGGTAGTCTACTGGAGGAGGGGTGGCGAGACACCTGCAATAAGAACTTCATCCACCAAATACAGACAGGATAAGACAAGCTGGTATCTTCCATACTATTCTAATTTCTATTCTAATCTATTTCTATTCTATTCCATTTCTTTCTACCAAATATGAATGGAATCCACCTTTCTATTTGCAAGACTAAAATTTCTCCTCTATCTTTGAAAACTCTTGCAGAAATTTTGCAACTTTTTTGTTAGGCACACTAATGGGAACGTAGAGACAATTCTCCAGATGCTTGCTAAACAATTATCGCTTGAGGTATTGCTTATCTCACTTTCGGTGACATTAATGTCAATATGTTAAGACCAAAGATTAGGCTGTAGGAAACCAATCTTGCCTATTACAGTTAATTCTATGCTAATTCCTTTTATGAGCTATTGTATTAACTTCGGGCCAGCATATCTTAAGCTTCCTCCCTAGCATCCTTTGATGCACTGGAGAAGATATTGTTAGTTGTAATAAATCATTATGCAATTTTTTTACTGAAGAAAGAAAGGTAGATGTGATCAATAGAAATGTTTGTATCTGTGGTTTTCCAGAAGACAATTTGGGCATAGCCTCCAACAGACATTGTTAGTCTCACAGCAAATGATAAATTTGATGGAAAATACATTCAAGCAAATAAATAAAATGACAATTAGTAACAGGGGAACAAAGAATTCAAATTGTCCTTACATTACGAATAGATTTGCAAAAGACAAAAACACTTTTAGAATTAGAAAGGAAAATGTATTTAGAAAGGAAAAGAAAGGCTGTAATACATAACCTCCTTAAAGCTTTTGAACTTTCCAATATAGTGAAGAGTTAATTCAGCTTTCTAGGCAACTGGCACGTTTCAAAGCAGCCTAGCAATGAGGATATAAGTACACACAAGCTTTGGTTCAGCGCCCCAACTACAGAAGATGATCATGAATAGGTTAATTGCTTAAGCCATTTGCAGTTCCTGGCTGTACAACCATCCCATAGAGGATGGAAGAGAGAAAAGTACTATGTGGATCTTGAAAAGGTGTAATTTGCTACAGTGTAAGGACAGAAAGAGCCACTAAATTGCTTGCTCTTCCCTTCTGCATATCACACTTTATCAATTTACCCTTTTAATAGTGATATCTTATGTTCTTCTACAGTACTTTGGTGTCAGACATAACACCACCAACAGCGTACACGTCTGTGCTAGAACTCCAGGTACTGTTAATTTCCTTTTGCCAAAATGAAACAGCCTCTGCAAGCATGTCTTTTATAAGGACATGAGCAAACTCAGATGGCTGTCAAATCAATCATTCATGATGTTATGATGGATATCTGAGCATCTCATCAAATTAATTACCAGGATTCAAGATGCAGAATCTACACAGTAGGAGCCTCAAGCATTACACAGACCTTCCGCTTTCCTAAGAAATGCAAGTGGTCAGTATTCCCAAGTATAATTGAAAGCTTTATCTTAATTATACCCACTGCATTACAACATATAACGATATACAGACTATTTTCAAAATTGACTTAATTCTTTGTTTTTAGTATTCTAATTAATAACTATAAAATATCTAGTAAGGGTTTTTCCAGTAATCTACAACATATCACACCTCAGGTTTAGATTTTGTTACTTTTGAAATACATCCTTTTCTAAGAAACACATCTTAATGATGTCCATAATAGGCCCATAAAAAATATCCTCTCCCAAAACAAAGTCAGAACTCAGATCTAAGTTTATCTGCTTTCCTGTGTAGATATTTGATGCCCCATATTTTAAACATGGGACTTCTAAAAGGGCTGAATCACTTGGGACCTTAGGACATGGAATACTAAGTCAGTCATCTCCATGAATCTGAATTCAACACAGATAATGAGATTGAAAAATATCTCACTGCTGGAACAACATGCATTGCTTTTTGTAAAACCAAATTTAAGATCCCACTCTGCTCCCGTCTGAAAGGCATTTATTGCCCAAAACATGCATATTAAACTCCTTTGTCAGTATCTTTATTGTAATAACAGAAAAAAACATCTACGCTAGCAGTGGAAATTCTTCTGCTGTTGCACCATGGAGACAGAAGGAGATTACAAACCTGGGAAATCTATACTGCTGCTATCTGTGCAGTGAAGAGATCCTAGAATAAAAAGAGCTTCTTCTAAAAGGCAGTGATTTAGCATAATTCACTAATATCAGATCTACCCTTTCTTTTATGCTTCTAGCTACATTTATGCACATCATCAAAATGGAATGAAAACAGAAAACGTACCAAACCAGGAAGAACTGGTGCAAGCCACATATGTCTGCCATCGGTTGTGTCATTTACTCTGTCAATTAGTTTGTCTGGAGTTCGGATGTCTCCAGATACATCTTCTAAAATGTTCACGCTATCTGGAAAAGCGGCAATATCTGAAAAAAACTTTAAGTGTAAATAACCAAAAAGTACATTTCAGAAACACCATATTTAAAAGCTCATGCTTGCTCTTCTAGATTCCATGAGTGAGTATTCACCACTACAACCCTTATAGATTCTGTCTTTCAAGGTTGTTTTTAAAATGGGAATAAATTAACTACCTACATTTAATTTATTTTCAAATACATATTTATGACTTCATCAATAAAGTTCCCTTATCAGGAATAGGCATTTCCCAGCTTTTTTGTGACAAAGCTCCATTTTTTTGGCATGAACTTGTGGAAACTCCTTATATGAAACCTATCTCAGGAAAAGAATCCTTGCAGCAGGTAGTCATCAGTCTGACCACGTTTCGCTCAAGTTGCTCAAAGTTTGTGATGGAAATCAGTAACTGTCTCATAAGGCCTTCTTTCAGTTCTTTTGAAAGCAAAAGAGTAAACCTTCTGTTGAACAGGCTTTCAAGGTATCCAGATTTTCTCTGTAAGAGAACATTTATGCTAAAAACGTACGTATGTTAAAGACGCGCAAAGAAATACGGAGGGATGGCACTGTCTTCAGAATTATAGATCCCTAGCAATCACGTTTGAAGGACATTCATTTCCCCTTGTCCTGCTTTCTAACAGGCCTGAGTCTGTAGGCATTGATAAATAATTTAAGGAATAATGCAACAATGTCTCAACTGTTTAAGAAAAGCTTGCTCCAGAGTCAGTACTGAATTATCACATTTAGTACTGCACTAAAGACAAATACGCTCCTTTTGGGATCCTAACATATCCAAGCAACACTACTGCACAGGCAGAAACAGGCGATCATTCAAACAAGCTGAGGTATCTCTACCTGGCATTGTATTGTACTGCAAAGACATACCGTTCAAAAGGTAATTTAAAGATCCCCTGTTCTTAAAACCAATTTGTTACCACTTTTCAATTTTAAAATGCTGCTTCTCCATTACAGATGTTTCAAGTTCATCATGTAGCATACAAGATACAAATATGAATCAGGAAAAAGCCTTTATTACCCTTTTCATTGTATCCTCTCTTTATTAGCCAATAAAGATCCTTACAGACACACAATTCAAGCAGCATCCATGCTTTTTGTCCTTTCTAGTCGGCTAAGAAACTTTCTTCCATGTGACTGAACTATGTGAATTACATGTTGGGGTATGAAGCTTTCACTCTTTAAGAGACTTTAGCTGATACAGAGCACTGAAGTGTGACCTTGATCACTACGAATCTCTCAAACATGCCCCTCATTCCCTCTGTTGGTTACCCAGGGAACACTGAATCAAATTCAAAATCTCAGCCCTTTTCTTCACAACTGCATCAGGTGTCTAGAATAGCCTAAAGTTCCAGAAGAAGAGTTATGAAAAATTTCTTTCTTGTGGCACAAGGAAAGATTCCATAACAGAGAACTGAGCTCAACCTTTTCTTCTGAATTTATAGCTCATCAAACTTTCTGGTCCTTCCATACCATAGAACAAATAAATGTTGACAGCAAAAAATACCATATCACGCTTCAGCCTTCCCTTCTCTAACCCTGTCCTGCTTTGTTGGTGCATCCCATTCAGAGAAGAAATGCTCTGAAAGTATACAGAATACATTAAAACATATGGAAACAAGTATCATCACACAAATATAGATAAATATAAGCACAGTAATCACATGGGATGAACTGGCAATTTGGAAGAAGTAGCAAGTGACGCCATACGATAATGTGCCAGGGAACAAACTGTGTATCTGAAAGGGACAGAGGCGCTCGCTCGGTAGAAGGATACTGTTTTCAGTTAGTAAGATTTGGTCTCCGTGTTCATTGAACAGCTCAAGTCCATTCAAACCAATGTAGTATGGGTCACCCCAACTTGTCAGAAGCTGAAACTGGAAGACAACTAAAAAGCAAAATGCTGTTAAGGAAAATTTTGATACTGATACTTTGTTGTCACAGACTACTTAATTTGCAGTTTCAAAAATTATCGTGCAGCCCACATCTCGATGTCAGACACTCTCATTTGCAGTTTGGGAGAGTGACAAAAAAAACCAAACAAAAACCACCACAAAAAAAACCACAAACTGTTTTTCACTTCTGACTTCACTATGTCTTAAACTTCTTTGAATACATGATTTTCTTTTAAGACAAGAAGTCTGCCTTTTCTATCACTGATAATACACACACAAATTAACATCTGCAGGTGGCACAACTGGGCAAAGGTCTGTCAATATACATTTACATATATACATGTTCATACATGTACTTCCATCAGATGAAGAACTACTGAATTTTTTTAGTGTGTGTCTCACCTTCTTGTACACTGCAACTTATTAACATGACACCTCCTAATCGGAGTCTTTACTCCCTTCCTATGTTTCCTGAATATGCTTTTGTGTGGTTTTGAATTATACGGGTGATAATTGGTCAGTAAACATGCCCCTAAAGTGAATGGCAGAAAATGTAATGATGGAGTCTGTGCTGTTCATTTCGCTAATGGAGAACTCATTTGTATCTCTTTCCTCTACCCAGACACTGATTTTCATGAAACTGGCAGGAACTTAGCATTGCTGAGAACTCACTGTCTCCATACTTCGTTAGAACAGCCTAATGGATTTAAAAGCCCCACCAAATAGATGGGTGGCATGACAGTTAAGCATTATCACAAAAGGCTGTGCTTATCTAGGAAAACTTGAGCTTAAAAAGCCACAAACATAAATCGCAAAAATATTACACAGTTCTCGTCAACCTCAATAAAGATATAAAACGAGACAAACATTCACAGATATGCAAAAATACGAAGACTACTTCTAGCTTTGATAGGCTGGCTGGATACTGTGCTAATGGACCTCTAGCTCCAGGTTGGACGGATTATGAAAGGCAGGAGAAAAAGCTACCAGAGTATCTGAAAACAGGTCACACGTTCATATATTATGTTCTATTTATTTATTGTTAATTCATACTTAATGGAAACCTTTCGTGTATTCTTGGTGTCTTGTTAATTTCTTAAAGCACCAGAAATTGTTGGATTCTAAAAGCTCAGGATGCATAGCCATAATACATAACTCTAAAATACTCTATATGAGAAGTAAGAAAATGACAGAGAAGGATACAACCACATGGCATTAACGGTGCTTCATAGTCCATACTAGCTTGTTCCATTCTCTGTGAACCAGTTCTGCCAAAAAATACAAGACAAAATAGTCAATGTACCCTTGGCTCATTCAGAAAAGAGGAGAACAAAACCACAGAACTAAGCCTCCAAAACCACCACCTCCCAAGCCCCCCACCAGTGACTATAGACTAGATTGCCTCCTGATCTCAGTAAAATCTGGTTAACAGCATATAGTTAAAATACATTGAAACATTTTGCTGTAAATGCGTCATTTTTTCATCCAGGTGCCTCAAACAATTGGCTTCAACAGAGAAGATGAAATAATACTGAACAGTTAAGAGAAATTCTGTGGTTCAGGTAACAAAAACATTCTACTTTACCTCCTTTGTACTTTATTAATCAGCTGAGGCTGCAGATAGTCAAGAAAGAGAATTTCTTGGGCAAAGTCAAAATGGCAGTTGCCTGGTCCCTTGCGGATAAGAAAGCCCTCCGGTGGGGAGATGCTCTGACCATCCAGCAACACATGGACGACCTTAGCCTTGTTTAAAATAACATAAGATTGCATGACATGACATTACATAAAATAAAACAGATCCAAACCACTTGTACTCACTTCAGAGGCCGAAATAATTAAAATAACTTTGTTGTATTTATTTCATTCCTCTATAGCATGACATCCTTTGGCAAATGAAAGCCTAACCCAGCAGATACCAGTTGCAACCCACAGTGTGCAATTCAGAGCATCATAGCTGACATTGATGGGGATGGGAGAGGTGAGGATTTGAGGGGGGGGAAGGAAAAAAAAGTATTGAAGAGACCCTTCAATTTCTGCATCTCACTAGATCTCAGCAAACTGAAGCCTCCTTTCTTTGCTGAAAGGGTTGTCACGAATTGGAACAGGCTGCCCAGGGAAGTGGCTGAGTCACCGTCCCTGGAGGTATTTCAAAGACATGTAGATGTGGCACTTGGGTCATGGTTTAGTGGTGGACTGGGCAGTGTTATGTTTACGTTGGACTCTATGATCTTAAAGGTCTTTTCCAACTTAAATGATTCTATGATTCCTGAGCCTGCAGCGATACATATACACATCAATAGAATGGAGAGACTTGGCTTTCAAGTCAGCATATGTCACCAAGGTGATTTGAGGAGCCAGTTAGGAGTCATCAGGCACCTGAATGCACTGCTAGATCAGGCCTGATTGCTCAGCACTGGCTGAAGCTAGCCTTTCAGAAATCACATAACCTGCTGCTCTCTCAAGAGCTCTGGTGCATTTACAGAAAGCCTGTATTTCACCAGTTCTATTTATCTTTGTGGCAGGTGGCACCTGGACTTTTCCAGGATCATGCAAACTCATCTACCAAGCAGTGCTGTGTGTAACCTAAAGGCATATGAATAAAGCAGAGGTACCCATCCTAGGCAGAAAGAACTGAGCCTTGTCCACATCATAGAGGTATGCACCTCTCACACAATCTCTGAAGATGAAACTAAATAATTCAGGCACACCTATTCAGATGATGCAGGAGCGCTGCCCCTTCAGCCTCCCCCATTAGCACCATCTGGTGTTGTATGCATGATCCCAGTCACACAGCAATTCAATCATGCAGCAACAATTATCACTGCATCTTGACCTGAAATAAGTTAAATGTAATTTAACGTTCATCACAAGTAGCATTTATTGCACTGAGTCTTTCACTAACTACTGGTTAAGGAAGGAATAATACCTTTAAAATATAACAAGATGAACTTGTAACTGGCACTATGATTAAAGCTTGCTGATTAATAGACTGAACCAAAACAGATTCATTAGATTAACAAAAGATTTCATTTAGTCTGAAGGTAATGTGAGTCAGTTTTCTAATCTTTGGATTTTATACTGACTGATGTATACATGATCATTTGAGGTTAACTTAGTCTTGTATGCAAATATTTAATTTTCATTATTAAGATTTCTATTAAAAATATATATGCAATATTTATAGTTAAAATTCCCATTACAGGTTTGTATTTGAGAAGAACTTAAAAACATTCAGTTTTCTGCAAAGCCTGTATATTATCAGTGACCTGATATTCATAAGTTTTCATATTTTCTCCATCCGTAAACAATTTTTTATTTAATTACAGTAAGTTACACATGCAATATCCCAAAAGCAAGTAATTTTCAGGAAGATTGGTTTTATTTTTTTTTTACTACACAAACATTTCTTGACTTGAAAACCTTGGGTATTGTCCTAGACTAGAGGAGGTGCTCAGTTCATTTCCAAACAGCATGAAGATTAAGTAGGAGGGAATGTTTGTATGAGTACCAAGTACGGAGAAATAACTATTTCTGTTTTTATCTTTACTCAGCTCGGGAGCAAAGAAAGGAAATACCCTTTTCATACCAGAAGTTCTTCTGCATGCTGCTTTCCAGCTGAATCAGTCTCCCAGGCTAAGGAGAGGAAGTGAAAAATCCACTGAAATACACTTTAGTTTAGGAAACACGTATTGAATGGGAAGTCCAGAGGATTCGAGGTGAAATCTTACCTATTATACCACAGCTGCTTATATTTATGTGCCCTTTACAGCCCTCATTTCTAATAATTTTCATCATCTGAGAAAGCACTCAACCATCACACATAGCATTTTACAAATCGCATAACAAAGCTTTCACACGGTAATTTTTCATAAAGCTGGAAATAGCACACAAGCCTTCATTTTGACAGTTCACTGCCATCACCCTCTCATACTAAAGCTGTGAATAGAATCCACCAGTCTACAGCTGCCTAGTAAATCACTGTATCTCACACCCAGGGACTGGTTCTTAGAAGGAACTGCAATACTTCAAGAGACAGATGTCATGATGCCCTAGGTTTACAGCCTAAAGCCTCTTTACTGTGGCCCAGTAGATACCTTGCATCTTCAGTTTTCCAAATAATTCATTTCATCCTTTTAGAGGACTGCAGGTACGAACTCCTTGTTTAAATTGTACCCACTAACTGTTATGGGACTTATAGGTGTGCCACCTGCATGCATACTTTATCAGACTCAACTCTTTTCTACCTAGCAAAGTAAACTGTGACAATATACATTTCTTTCTTTCTTTCTTGGCTTGGCCTCCAAAGAACAGATTCCACGTTAGATTTTCAGGATTTGGCTATTTCTTTCCCTCCTTTAATAACCAAGACACACATACAGGGAGTTGATTTGATATGAAAATTCATGTTCAAACTTTTCTCCCCTGTTCTGCCTTGGAGAAGCTTGGGCTTACAACAGTAGTGAAAAACATTCCACTTCACCACTTAAAGACAGCTCTTTATACTGCATTTTGTACACAGAATCACAGAAAGATTCAGGTTGGAAGGGACTTCGGCATGTCTCCAGTCAGCTCCTGCTCAGAGCAGAGACGCCCACAAAGCTAAATCAGGTTGCTCTGGCCTCGTCAAATTTGGTTTTGAAAGTCTCCCACCACTGAATATTGTCCCAGAGCTGTACCACTCTCATAGGGAAGAGTCCTTTCTTTATACCTAATCATATCGATCAATAGATTTTATTAAAAAATCCTAGTTCTTATACAGTGGGTACGTTTAGGTGGTAAGCTCAACATGCTCCTGAACCCTCCCATGTGTCAAACATGTCAGGTTAATGCAAAGTCTTACAAAATCAGTTCCCATATGTTAAAATCTCCAGATCAAATGTGGCTTAAGTGAAAGATCTTACACTCTGGCCCTCTGGGAGTCTTTGGCACTCCACAACATCCCATGCTGATATTAACCGATGCCACGGCTCTGCTGTGGAGAGAGAACGCCTCCTATTTATGTAGTGTTCATATAAAAGCAATTCCTGGAAGGTAAATTTACACAAAGAAGCAGTTCTGCAACTTTTGCCACTATCTTGCCCAATGCCATGAAGGATCCATGTCTCCAACTTCAATTCTAGAAATTTTTCCAGAACTTTGCTGATTCTCTTTGTCCTGTCTCTCTCTAATTTAATACCTACCAACATTTTCCTTCTTATCTGTTGGCTGAGTTTGGATGTCAAGAATGCAACAGCTATATGTGAAGGGGAATATCTGTAAACAAATAGATTCATAAACCTTCCATGCAGTGAACAGCAACTACTTCTTCATTATCACTCTAAGTGCATGTATAGCTTGTGAGAAAAACCAGGGAAACAAGGGACAGCCAAACTCAGAGTGCCAGCAAGATGTAACATGATCTCCAACAGGTGTCAACTGACAGTCAAATCCAAGAATTCAATATGAAAAAAAAAAATACGAAACAAACAATTTGGAAAAAGGAGAGAGAAGGTATATTACACAATCTTAGCTAAACTACTTAGCCAAACTGTTTGAAGATGTCAATTTTCTCTAACAAGCGTTAAGAGTTCTAGAGACTCTTCTTGTTTCTTGGAAAAGGTAGGATTGATTGACTGGCCTTCTGTAACTTACCTAAACAGAACTGCTGTTGGAGAAGTATCCCCTATTCTACCATTGCCTGTGTTCCAGGAAATAAAGAATCATATGGTAGGCCTAAATACTGGATACCGAGAGGATATCACTTCAGAATCATATATCTTGAAAATAATACGTGCTAGTTTATGTGTCTCTTAGAAAAACCAGCTGTGAAGATTTCTTTAAACAATCTCTGGCTTTTTTTCAATATTTGCTGTTTGTGGAGACAGAAATGCATTAAACCTGCCACAAAATTCAGAGTCAGACAATCTAGAAAGATTTATGGTGTTCCATTAAGGCAGCTATATTCATTTATCACAGCACCAGTTTTCCAATGCACTGCTGTATATTTTTGCTGGTAGTGCTCCTTTTCTTTTACTTACCCCTCTAAAGGTATCCTCAGGAGATTTATTATAGTTCCAAAAGCGAAGCCCCGCAATACTTTCAGTTTTATCAAAATGGATTGTGAGCAGATGATCTTCTCCAAAAGAGAAGGGAATGAGCCACATATGGTCATCCTCTACTGTGATATTAGTCCCATCTATTAACCTACAGAGAGAAAAATCCATTAGCTGCAGAAAAGGAAAAGCTTGCTTTTCTCATGAAAATCAGGTACATTACTAGGTGTTTATTTTTTTCTAGATGCCACTTCTAGTGCTTACGATGCCCATGTGCATGCAATTAGCAAGCACAGTAAATATCAAAAATAACATGCAATTGTTGAATTAAAGACAGTGGGGGGAGAGAAAAAAATATATATATTTCCTTTAGTTGGGTCCATTTGAGGAAAAACAATCCTTAGGTTTTCCATGGGTGAACGGGGGCAGGCAGAGGAAAGCTCAGCTACCTTTGTGCCAAAACAGCCGAAGGCAAAGCTCTAAGGCCCAGACACAATAGAACTTATTAATATAGTTCCACACCTAAACTAGTGTATCTGGCACTCTGCAGTGTGTTACTATGCCTATGCAATTACAACAAATCTGACAAGGAGCTGGATAACCCAGAGAATAAGCAGAGTTTGTTCACATCCTTTTTCACGTGCACAGTTAGTCTCATTCCTACTTTTTAAAAAAGCTTTCTACCAGCATGACAATGTCTTTTCATAAAAGCATAGACTTCAAGCTGACTAGATAAAGCTAATTCCATTATTCCTCATTTTGGAATTCTGACTTTGTATTTTTATATCACAAAATATGTCATACAAAGATGGACTAAAGGAGAACATGAATTAATTGCCCACTGTAATTACTTTTGTACGCTGCCCTATGTACTTACTATTTATTAAAAAGTCTAATGGAAGAATGAGTGCCAGACTTGGCAGTTCCTTCAAGAAGAAGATTTGAATAATGACTCTTTCACAGGGGAACTGATTAGGGAGCCCATGAGAGAAGATATAATCCTTGACTTAGTCCTGAACTAGTACACAGGACCTATTCCAAATGCTACAGTTGGAGTACACTACAGTACTCTTCAATTTAACATGCTTGTAGAAATATCAAAAGCAAAAAAAAGCCCCTATTTCTTGTGCCCATAAAGGTTCTTAAGCAAACATAATGAAGTACACTTCAAAAAAAAAAAAAAGGAGTAACAAAACAAAATAAAATCATTACACACAGCAGAGAAAATATTAAGAGATATCATACTGGAAGCACAGAACAACTGTATCCCACTTACTAAGAAAGACGTTAGAAAGAGGGAATACTTGAAAAATCAAAGCCAGCCTGGTGCAGTGGCAGGATCAAGAAAGTTATTACAAGCCGTCTTTCAACAAAATCATGATCACAAACCCCCTAAATTGATAGAATCATAAACTTTGGAAGGCTAAATGCACGGGCCAAAAAAAGAGTATGAAGGCTAGCAAGCAAAAGGTACCATAAATAAAATTCCTCAAATATATCAGGAGCAGAAAGCCTGCCAGAAATTCTGTAGGATCAACAGATGACGAGGCTGGAAAAGGAGCATTCAGAGAAGATAAGACACCAACAGAAAAGCCAAAGGACTTCTTTGCATCTGGGTTCATCATGGTGGAGTCTGGAGAGACTCCACCACCAGAACCTCTTCATCACAGGGTATCTCATGGGAAGATTTCTTAGATCTTGATGTCTACAGAAGAGACTTTCATACAAACAGGCAGAAGAACTGAGGAATTATATAAGTGTATGCTTGACATCTGTATTAGTCAAATTTGCAGAAATCACAAAGAACAGAGTTAGTGTACATGTAGATAAATACAAGATTCTAAGGAAGACTCAAAGACTTTTAAAAGAGAAGTCCCAATTCATAAACTTATTCACAAGACCACAAACATGCCAGAGGACAGGATTACAACTGAACACACCCTTTAAAATCAAGATGTGGCTCAGAAACAACAGGATGCAGATTCAACAACAACAAATGACAAGTCCTCTACCAACCTATAGCCTATCATTTCTATACTGCCATAATTTAGAAAGTACATGTTAATTTGAGGAAGTATACTTGTCAATGAATAAAATTTCATTGGAATTACAAAAAAAAAAAAGTTGCAGAATTGCCAAAAGAATGGCACCTCTTTGTGAAACACCTTAACACATACTCATCCTTTGCTGACTTAAAAATTTTCATTGAATTTATGCAGAAATCCTGCATAAATATCCCTGCATATGCATAGACAGATGCTGCAGAACACCCACATTTCTGCCTGGAAAGTCCTCAGCAGAGATACCAACCAGGCATGTTATCATCTCCTAACTCAAACACCATCTTTTTGGAAACATCTCATTCATGTTTCTACAACAAGCTGTTCCTGGGTAGCTTGTGAAATCCAAGAATGAGCTATGATGGTATGAGAATCGTGTTTGTATTAACAAGTGTTAACATAATAAAAGGTTATATAATTCTGTCACTTTATAAAGTTTGATGTAAAATGCATCTAAAATTGACAAACTCCAAAACTGTTGGTGGAAACAGCAGGTGTGAAGGGAAAAAAAAAAAAAAAGGTCCTGCAGAAAAGGCTTGCACAATTCCACTCTTTTGCTACTTACTTTCCTAGTGTTCTGGAATCTGCTGTATACTCTGGCAGATCATTCAAGTCTTGGGGTGAAGCAGAAATCTGTTCTGTACTTATGCTTAATGCGCGACCATTCTTTCCTATCACTTCAAGACCTGTCAGTCCAAGGTAATGACAGTCTCCCCAGGTCATGGTAAAGTTCAGCTGCAGGCCTATATAAAAGAATATAAATATAATATATCTATATACATACTTATTATTTTGAAGGAAGGAGCCAATATAAGCATGCATGCAAGCCCCAGTGATGAGCAGTATCTGTATTTTGTTCAGATTAAATAACTTCGTATTTGGACACTTCCTAGTCTGCATGCCTACCTCCATGGAGTAGCACAGTATTTTCTGTAAATCACTGTTAGACGCCTCTAGTGGGTTACCAACATCTTGTTCACTTGTAACTATACAACCCCTGTTCAAGCATGTTATCAGCCGTCTCATGACATAGACTGTAGGCTGACAGTACTTCAATGATATGTTTAAGCAGTTACATGACAGATTTTGTGATTATGCAGAGACAGAGAAGACCTATTAGTCTGAAGTCCATCTATCATCTTTCACCAGCTAAATGACTATATATAGTCATATATTGTAGAAATCCTGTCTCTCATAAATCCATAAATTGCTATAAAACACCAACTCATAGTTAAACCAAAAAACAAATTTGGTTTACTAATGTGTTTAAGTTACTGTCTTCATGTCAGACCAGGACAGATAGAAGTATTTTAATGGGATAGCATTAGTGAAAAGTAGCAATGTTGATTAGCCTGCATCTCCAGAAAATAAATAGGAAAGGAAAATTGGGCAGACAAAAGATTGTATGTGTATCTTCAGATCCACCTGTTTCATGCCTTACCGAAAAAATATAAATAGCATATACAGATATAACAAGTAATGTTTCAATCTGATCAGGTACCATAAAAATCCACCATTGTAAATTAAAACTATCTCTCATTTCACACATTTCAGAAGCCCAGAAATAAACAGGTTGGATAACATCTAAAGAAGCACCAGTAGTCATGATGCCCTGTAAAGCAAACAGGCATTAAAGCTATTAAGCCATCCAGCCCAATTACCTATAAATAGCCATAGCAATTTACACGAGATGAAGTCTTGATATACACATAAATTCACTTGGGCGTAAGATCTCTTTAGCATTTGCAAGGACGCTAAGAAATAAATAGTTCTATTAGCTGACAAGTTTGGAGCTATAGCTACATTGATACTAGATGCTATTCCCGAGGCCATTGCTAAGACTAAACTTGCTTAGTGTACAAGCATGCAGGAGTTCTCAGGCAAAGCCAGAGTATACTTTCAAACAAAAGGGAAAGGAGAGGGTGAAGCCAATGCCAATGCCTTCACAGAATCTCAGAATGATGCAGGGTGGAAGGGACCTCTGGAGGTTTATAGTCCGACTTCAAGCTCAGAGATGTCCATTAGATCAGGTCTATCAGGAACTTCTCCAGTGGAAGTTTGAACGTCTCCAAGGCTGGCAGATTTCAGAACCTCTCTCATCCTCTGTTCCAGCATTTGACTGCCCTCAGGGTGAAAAAGGTTTCCTAATATACAGTTGGAAATTCTTGTCTTCTACCTTGTTGTTTCTGCTGCCTTTCAACCCAGTCTTATGCACATCGCTGATGAATGGCCTGGATCAGATCCTCTCTGTGCCCTCCCTAGGGCATAGACAGAGAGCTCTAGACAGCTAGAAGATCTCCCCTTTACCTTCTCTTCTCCAGGATGAATAAACCAACTCTCATGCTTTTTTTGCATGTCAGGTCCTCCAGCTGCCTGACCTTCCTGGTCACCCTCCACTGGACTCGAACCAGGATGTCAATTTCCTTCTTGTCCTGGGGAGCTCCTTACTTAACACCGTACTCCAAATACAGTCTCACAAGTGTCGAATACAGGGAAAGAATCCCTTTCCTTGCTCTGCTGGCTGCACTCTTATTTTTACATCCCAGGAGGCAGCTGGACGCCTCTACTGGAAGGCTGCACTGCTGACTCTTATTCAGCTTGTGGTCTTACAGGACTTCAGGCCCTTTGGTGCAAAGCAGCTTCCCTAGCCAGGTGGCTCCCAGCCTGTCCTGTGGCATAGGTTATTACATGCCACACACAGGCCTTCGCGTTTGCCCTGAACTGCCTGAGGTTACATTAGATAACAACATGAGGTTATCATTTCTCCAGCCTGTTGAGGCCCCTCTGAAGAACAGCCCTGCCCTCCAGCTTATCAACCACTGTCCTCTGTTTCGTGTCACCCACAACCTTCCTGAGATTGCACTTTATCCCATCATCCAAGTTCTTTAAAAAAAAATACATTAATCAGTGTAAACTATAGTATTGATCCCTGGGGGACACCTCTGGTAACTAACCAGCCACTAGCTGCACTTTGTACCAGTGATAATCACACTTTGAGGCACATTTTCTCCTTGACATTGTGACTGGCAGCAGGATGAGCGAGATTAAAACTACCTATGACAGGTCATGGATACAAATCCTCAGTGACTCCGTGCACAATTTATTACCAGGAGTCCCAGATGAAAAAGGCAGTACTGACCCAAAGTTTTGCACAATTCCCAGTAATTCCCCAAACAAGAAGCAGCAAGAGGACTTTCACTCCAGGTCTAAGGAACCAGCCCACAGCTTAAGGAGCACAGGCAGGACAGCGTACATAGAAATCACTGGCAAAAGCCAGGCTGTAGCTTCTAGTTGTTTCTTTGCCTTTGTTCAAGGTCATTTACAAAGATAGTCCCTTGTAGCAATTAACGGCAATTTTTTCCTGTGTAAGACACTAATGTGAAGTTTCTTTTGTGTCTCATAAGGCATGGAAAGCTTCCCTTAAATGCAACTATCTTTCTCTAGCTCTTTTCCTGCAAGAACTCCAGGGAATCAGGACCTCTTTGCCTGGTAGGGACAAGTCAGCCCACCAGCTGATTAACAATATTCTGTCATTATGACAGCCTGCATCTACTGAGCTCCAAATCACACCCTCACTATCTTTTTCACCCACTTTGAGAAATGGATGGAGGGAAAGGCATCTTAAGTTCACAGATAAGGAACTGATCATAGACATGCTCATAGATGTAGATATAGTTCACGGGCGATAGATCACAGATCATAGGTATAGTTCACAGACATGTTGCTGAATAAGCCACAGCATTCTGCGTACTTTCAGAGAGCACATCACAGGTTGCTAAAGACTTTATGCCAGGCCCAAGAACCCAAATGCTCTTGTGCTGGTCAAAGGACCAGGAACTGATACTGAAACTTCTGGGCCATCCAGAAGCCCTGTGGAAAATAATTTAAAGGCCCACAAAGAGCTGGTTTTGTACAGGATAAAGAAATATGGTACTTTAAGTATGGATGTAACATTCGGGTCTAGCTTTACTGTAGGGTTTCTATTGTCCATCTGATCTGAGAAATTCAGTCAGTCTACATAAATACACAGGATTAGGAAAGAACTACTGGGCAATGGACACAGCTATTACAAATCCTATTCAGAGACTAGGCAAATGGCTAGTGTTATTTTTCTGTGATTAAAAGCCAACTGTTCTGATATAGTGTTCTAAAGGTCATAGTAAACAAAGCTTCTGCCTTAAATATTCAATTACTCTTCTTTATTCTAGACCTGACATCTGTCACAAAGTTCTGTACAGCTCTGACAAATCAGATCCTCCTTGATAACATGTTAGGGGGAAGGGTGGTTAAGCAAGAAGTAAATGTAAGGACTTACATTTTCCAGTAAATATTCCTGATTGCTTGGGTATACATTCAGAGAGAGGGTCTGGCTCTTGAACCTAAAAAGTAAACCAACAGGTGCAATGAACATGCATCTACACATTACAGACATATTGTTTATAAAGTGGGGGTTTTTTTGGTGTGGATTTTAGTCTATTTAGGGTTTTTGGGGTTCTTTTTTTGGGGTGGTGTTTTTTTTTTTTTTTTGGTTTTTTTTTATGTCCAGCCTTCTGTGTACCAATCTCCCCGTTGCCTCACCACCCAGGCTGTCCTCTAAATAAAGGAAAACATGCCCCAAAATGTAGATGATCATATGGGTCCTTAGAAAGTGAAGACTATTAGGGATTTTTCTTGCTAATGCATACAGGAATGTTAAAGGGGAGACTCCCTGGTGTGGGCTACCTGTTCTCGAAGAGGCTGAAATTCTTAACTTACTCTTATTTACCTGCGGACTGCCATTAACTAATAATAATATGCCCTATTTGAAACATGTGGCAAATATGTTCCAGAGATAAGAAGTCTAGAAGGAAGTTAAGACCTCAGAGAGTGCCACCACAATTTCTTCTCAAGAATTGAAGGGCAGAACAAACAAGCAAACTTGTCCAAAAGCTTGCATTTGTTCTTTGACAACACTAATTAATTATTGCCTATGCTACTCAACATAGCAAACCAGAAAGTGAATAAACAGATGACAAAATTTGCTGAACATACTGGGGCAATTAGGGTAGTAAAGACAAAGAACAGCTGCAAAGAGTTACAGATAAACTTCATTTCACTGAGTGAGCGTGATAACATGGCTAATTATGTTCACTGTAGGTAAAAGTGCTACACATCAGGAAAATGATTCTGACTTTACATACACAGTATTGGGCTCCAAACAAAATAATAGCAGATTAGAATGAAATTGTAGCAGTACTGTGAGCAGTTCTACAAAAACATTAGCTCAGTCCTCATTAGTGCCAAATAGGCAATTAGAAGTCCAGACTCATCCTCTATAGTTTCATTCAGCATTAGAAGCAGACTTCTTGTCACCCAGAATATATCAAATGGACCTACATTGTGCCTAAAAAGATATGAAAGACATGTCAACGCTTCTCTCCTATTGTTATATTAGATCTCTGCAGTATAACCACTGACATCCTGGATCTTTATGTTTATGTTCCCAGACTGCAATATACTTCATGTAGCAGCAAATGTCCTTGTGGTAATTAAGTAGGTGAAACTGAACAAGAACTGCACACTGAAACAAACACCACAGACAACCTACAGAAGATGGGGAAAAAACCCTTCTTACTGGGGGTACCTTTCTCACAAAACAGTGACTGTCTGATGCCTTTTCCCTCAGAACAACTTTAAAAGACCAGCCTGGGAATTGAAATTTGCAACTCTACTGAATATCAAAACCCACAGACACAATAAAGCTACTGGTTTTATAGAATGCAGAATAATACCCTCCTTGCAGTCCGTAAACCATCTGTGCCAAGCCACCTTATCACCTCTTTTCTCCCCCTCCGTCCTTTCTTGGCTACTCAGATCCCTTCGTTCCACTGGTGCTCACCATCTTTTCTTTCAGATATGGTCTAATTTTCTACTACTTCAATTACTTCTGCTTGTGACATTGTCCTGCCTGTGTTCTTAGATCCTTATGGCTAGAACAAAATACCACCATAGCACAGGAGTTACTCGAAACACAATGAAAAGTAGAAAGTATTACCATGCTCTTCTACTCGACCACGTGAGGAACAACTAAAGCAGGACTAACCATTTTAGAAAAGAGATTTAGAGATTGTAACAGAGGGGCATAAATCTCCCGAGTGGCTTGAAAAAGGGAATAGAGAATAATTCTTTAGTTTCTTGAACACAAAAACTAGGGGACATTAAATGAACGTAGAGACAAACAGCAACAGGCTCTTTGTGTTATGCAAGTTAAGCTGGGAAACTTACCACCGAGCACCGTGAGCTGTAAAATTGCACATGGCTACAAAAAGCTAGTGGATGACTTAACACAATAAAAATCCACGGCAGGATACTAAACACAAAGGTTTAGTCAAAAAGTCCTAGTGAAACAGATTTTTAAGGGCTGGATGAGTGTTTCAGGGAAACACCACTGCATGTTTGCTCTGTTCTTACTTTCTCCCTAGGCAGCCACTATTGGCCACAGTCAGAGTTGGGTCAAGCATGCTAGTTACAGGTCTGACATGCTAAGAATTACTGAATTCATGGGAAGACAGTTGACTATGGGTAATACTGACAACCAAGTACAACGTTTCTGTAAGAGCTTTTGAAAAGTTCTGTAGTCAGTGCAGTAAAACACCGTTTCATCCACTGACTGTGCTACAGGAAAAAAGGATTAATGATCAACAGGTAGAGCCTGTTTAAACCCAGTTCTAGTCTGAATGACAACATTACGCTGGCGAAGACAAAACACCTAGTAGATCTGCAGCATTCTGATAGCATAATCATCCATCTACAAAATCTTGATGATACCAGCAAATACAGAATGATCAACGGCTCAGTCACAACAGTTTTTGTTATTCCATTGCTGATACAGCACGTTTCAGAGTTACAAAAGGAGTATGAAGAGCATCACAGATGAACAGCAAAATAAAAGGCAGAGGTTCTGAGTAAGGATCAGACAGTCCAAGTCTAGGCTTTTGCAATGGAAGAGGTCCTGGTGAATGCTCACAACAAACAAGTGATCAAGAAAAGAAACGTGAACTTCAATTTGTGTTCATGAAATCCTACACTGCATGACGTGTCCTGAACAGTTTAAGATAGATACCACAAGCAAAGATGGGACCAAAATTACTGTTGCAGTGTTAAGTAGCACTGGAGAAGTCAAGGGGTTAGAGTCACTGACTCATAATCTTAACAGCGAGATCAAATTCCAACATCATGACATTTCTCTTTGTTTTCTAAGCCACCAGGAGGACAAGGCAGAGCAGGAAGGCTTGACAGCAGGACAAGGCTCACTAGCAACCATCTATCACTGGCAGCACTTTAGCTCAACCAGCTGGAATTTGGATTGATTCAGCTTTGGATCTCCTCACAGACTTACAAGTAATAGTGTGTCCTCTAGAAACAGATAACTTAATTGAAGCAACAGTAAGTGCTCATGAAGATCCCAAGAAGGTAGAGGATTTGATGTAAATCAGGTCAAAGACTGCCCCACACCATCTTGAGCAGAAAATCTTGCAGGCTCCTTGCTTTGACACTGGACTGTTGGGCTGGAGTGGTATGAGGCAACACGGCAGTGCTTGAAAATACGGCCTTCCTCCAGGTAGTAAAATACCTACTGTATGGAATAGTAACGGGGTATTTTTATGCTGCAAAATGCACACAGACCTGTGGAGATGCTAGTCAAAAAAGAAAAAAGGACTTCCTTGTCATATTTCAGACAGACATTTATAGAGAGTTCTGAACACAGAGGTCCCTACCTGTTGATCCTCTGTTCTTAACCCTGCTTGAGTAAAAGGTCTTTCATCTCCCTCCCTATCAGCAGTTGTTGGCCTCTTTAGCTCTTCCTCGTATCTCAAGGAGCTGGCATTTTCCATTTCTCCATCATATGTCTCATCATAGCAGTATATAGCTTCAAGAATATCATCATCAGTAGTGAACAATATAGTATCCCCAAAGTGCTCTGGAGCTGAAGGCAACACACAGAATTAAACGGAGAAACCACACAAAAGAATATATAGAGTGATAAAAACTATTTCCAGTCCTTAAACACTACCGCAAATTAAATGTAAAAGACAATATATGGTAAATTTATACTGACTACTGATATAATTAGTATGTTCATTCTCAAACTTCTACTGCACAGCAGAACAACCTAGTGAACTCGGTCAAATTTCAAATACATATAAAATAAAATCAGAAAAAAGCTTCTGCGTCACCTTTTCCAAAAGATGATATCTGTGAAAACAAGTAAAGATCTGCAACTTCTAAACGTCTAGTGACTATCTGATGTTATTGAAATAGGGTTCTGTTGCTAAGACATCATTAAGAATAGAGATTAACTCTATCTGCTATTAAAATTCAGATATCATTGAAGAATGCATTAGTGAGTTTTGCATTATGTTTTGAAATTAAAAGGAATAAATACTATACAAAGTGCCAGCTTGCTTTGAAGTGGAAAGTGGTAACAAACAAGCTAAATATATTTGGTTGTATTGCACTGCTGTTTCCACAAGAAAAAAAAAGAAAAGAGAGCATACCTCCAGACAAGGTTCCTGAAGCTTTTGCAATTTCTCCTTTAAAGATGCATTGTTCATCTAACACCATTACAATGTCTTTCACACCTCTGAAAGAGTGTATGCGAGATTTATTATAATTCCAAATCCTAATCATAGCTACTTGACAGGAATTCACAAAGTCGATAAAGATAAAGTGAGGTTTTCCAGGGGTAAATGGTGCTAGCCAGAGATGCATATCATCCTGCGTCCGATTTACCCCATCAATTAGGTTGGTTATTATTCTGGGATCGTTGCCATAAGCTGGTAAAATATTTATATCAGGTGGTTCAGCTGTTATTTTTGAAATCTGAACAGGCTCTCCTTTAGAACTGAAAACTTCAATTCCATTAAGACCAACATAATGTCTGTCTCCCCATGTTGTTTGAATGTCTATCACTAAGTGTTGTCCATAAGGCAAAACAGGAATTTTAAAATCATTTCCATCATGTGCCTCCACAGAATTTTCTTCTTCTTGCCTTTTTGGTAGCATTTCTAGTCCCTCTTTTCTCATTTGCTTATATTCTCCAGGCCGGTTGATTTTCTGTTGATGGAGAAACTCATCGAAGATATCCCCTTGAAAATCCATGTTAGAGATTCGGCCACGATGGGAATAATTAAACTGTACCAAGGAGTTCCACGACTCCTGCAGAGTGTGTTCTTGTTCATTGCGCCACTTTGCTCCAGAGGTTGCTATGTCCTTGACAGAAAAGTCTTCATCTGAAAATAACATTACATAGGCATTTAATGCACAAACAGGACTGCAAGCAAACCATTACAACATGGACTTTCCAGAATTATGCTGATCATATTCATATTCCCTCACTGTGAAATTCTGTTATACCAGCACTTTTATATTGCCTCTTTATTATGAGGGCTGCATGTCCCAATTTCCCTTCCCCATTTAGACATAACAAAACCAATCACTTTTCAATACTGAAGAGCAGAGCACATGCCAAGAGACCAAAAACGCAACTAAGTTTGAGACACTGAATTCTTGACTCAACACTTACAGAAATTGGGATTTTGCCCAGTGATACTTATTGTGTGGCTGTCACAACAGCTCAAATCATCTGCCCGCATTTCTGCAGAAGATCTTTCATACAGCTGGAAATGGTAGAACTAGTTAAGTTTCTATATTGTTACAGAGAAAAGACAGTGCTTCCTGTCAAAATCAGCCACGCGTATATGAAGAAAACTGGGGAGAAAAGAAGTACGTTGAACATACAAGGAGGATGAGGTAAGCATCGTACTATATGCAGGCAACGTCCAAACCTTTCTCTCACTTTTCAGCAAGCGTGAGATGGAGGAGGGGGATAATGACAAAGTATCTACACAGTGGGGGCAACAAATTTGAGGGGCACAGTGGGAGCAAAGCATGCTCTGCTTGTGACTGCACTGGGGAGCTGCTTAATTTCCATCTCAAAACAATTAAGAGCAGATATTAACAAAGATTTTCAATAATGCTCCCACTTCTGTATTTTCTTCAAATAAATGAAGAAAAGCAAGTGGAGTACTAAACAATTACAGGCCCATGGGCTAGATTTTACTTCTGTACAATGTCCTTGAGTGGATACTAAAACAAATGGTTATCAAGAATAAACACCAATTGCCGTAAAATGCAAAATAATATTTTCCCAAAAGACTGCTCAATATTAACTTTTAACTTTGTTTTTGGAAACACTGGGAAATGGGTAATGTTCCTAATCTATCTATGCCAATAATCACTCACACTGGGGACAAGTGAGGTAAAAATAAGAATTTTAAAGCAGATGGGAAACTACCTTAAAGAGGCTTGTCTTCCAGACTGCAAGGCTGGAGACCAGCCTGGCCATTCCTCCTTACCCCGCAAGGGAAACACAGATAGAAAGCAAAGGTACATATTTCAGAGAAAATCAGCCATTTGTAAGTCCCTTTCTGGTTCAAACTATTGTCCATACGGATACTCATGGGGTGGGTGATCCCAAACAGTACTTCCCAGAGCCTCACAATTTACAGGAAGCAGATACTGTACATATATTTACCACTTTAAAATGTCATAGCTTGAAAATTTCAGGATGAGCATGTACAGAAGAGTACTTGACATCCATCAGCTTTCCTTGTTTTGGAGGCTTGTTCCTTTTTTTTTTGTATTTTTTTTTAATGTTAAGTACTTCATGCAGTATAGAGATTACGACTCCGAAGCACTTCTACAGCAGTTCAACAGGAGTGATTTTCAATGGCAGGTTAACAGGTTTGTTAGCCACATTAAGCAATGACAACAGGAGAAGTGGAGCTCTGAAAGCCAAGTCAAGAACAGCACAAAAGCAGAGGTCAATGGCTGAAGGATTACAGGGTTTGGCTTTTTTTTTTTTCTATGTAAAGTTTATCATTTTTACTGGAGCCATGTGAACAATAAATTCTGCATGTAGATAAAGAATATCCCATTTGCAGATGTTACCAACGCATTCCCAGCCTTCTCCATGCCTGGAAGGATTGTATGATGGGTGCTACCCCAGAGTCCACAAACATGGACACCTCAAACATGCACCTCCCCTGTGGGTCTAGGTAAGGTGTCCTGAATCACCAAGTCCCACGTCTTGCTCCTGATGGCAACACACACTATACAATTCCTCTCAAAACTTTTGTAAACTACATTTTGGGGCAACACTAGCTTGAAAAAAAACACCTTTTTTCTCCCTCTGTTGTGTTAATCTCCTTTTTACTCCCTGCAGTTATAAATAGCAATCATACTTCCATGCTGCAATCACACGCTTCATTTCACAAATCATTCTAAAAGCTCTCTTCTGTATCTGTTCCACTTCGTAATCAGCTTTCCTGAGAACGGATGATCAGAACCGCAGTTTTGCAACTGACGTCTCATGAGTGCCTGTGTTGAGATATTAACGTTTCCCTAACTAACCGAAATGCTTCGGTTGATACATCCTCGGAGTGCATTGCTATAATCACGCCTGCGTCACACTAGCATTTCATAGTCAATCTGTGATCAACTACTCGACTAAGATCCTCTTCTTCCTCGGTCATTTGCAATTGATGATTACTCGGCTTACAACTTAATTTTCCGTTATTAGTCCCCAAATGACCTTGCAAGTAGTACTACTGAATTGCATTTTATTGCTATTACTCCAGTCCTCAAGTTCATCTTTTTGTGCCATTCTTCAATCTTCTTAACTCATAATACCCCAAATTATATGCTATTTGCAAATTTTATCAGCATACTTCCATCATTTCATTTGCACATTAAACCAGTGATCAAAGAAAAATTGTATGTTTTTGTAGCAACATTAACTCAAGGCAAATATGCATGTACGTGCTGTTTCTAACTTCTGTTCTCGTTATTCTTCATTTAATGACCAAAGACATGCTGTGACATTGCACATGAGCTTGTGCAGCCTCCCCTTGGTCACATACTGCTATTGGGAAACTGCCGTTCCCCTAGCCCCGTGCCAATTAAAATTCACCACTCTTAGGGAAACACTTAAAACGGTTTCCCCGTTGTTAATGCTCACTCCGCTCCACTTTGAAGATGGCTTTACCCTGCACAGTACAGTACAGAGAGAACAAAAGCTGCTAGATGGCATGCACTTTTCCCAGGGACAGACACATATTGGGAGTCTCAGGCACCAGATGACAAAACCTGCTCAGAGCAAAATTAGAGGACATTATAATTAGAATCACGATAACTCTCAGCTTACAGTTTACATTAAAACTCCAAAATTGTTACTATTTTCACAACTGAACAGAAATTACTAAGGTGGGATTTATTTACAGTTTCCATAACGTTGTCAAGTTTTTAATCTAACAGAGATACTGTAAAATGTGTGAAATGGCAAACAGGCTGCGGTGAGTGGGTGGGTGAAGGGAAGATGGCAGTTATTCCAACTACTGCCGTAGTTTTTCGTTCTTTGAGGTGTAATTTCAGATATACTTACAAAATTGCTGTTTTCTCTACAGAGGGGTGGAGAACGAAAACCTCAGAAATTAGTTTACAAAGAACCATTTTCTTTACCCTAGGCATGCTTCCTGCCCCTTATGACCAGCACTTTAACGTAAACACCCAAATACAATATACAGCAAGCTACACTTTCCTGTAAGTTGTTCTGGTGGTTAATTTTACCAAGTTGCCCCCATAATTTCAACTTGTATTTTTGTAAGCTCTTCTTCCCATTCTCTAGGCCTTGTTGTCCTTGTTCTGCCAGACACTATTCATTTGAGACAAGTTACTGAAGGATGAAGAATTACAGAATGCCAAAAAACAACCCCAGAACTTGCCCAATTCTCACACTCTTCCCTGGGGCCACACTGTTGGCTACTGCCAGAGGCTGAACATAACCACACAAATCTGGATGCCCCACCTCCAATGGGATCCAGGCGAACTAAAAACGGTTTGGAGAAGAATGACGTGGATAATCAAACACATGGACCAGGTAACAGCTAAACTTACTATAAAACTCTTCATAAATGAGCAGAGGTGTCTGAGGGAGAGGTTTGAAAGAGGTATGTAATGTCATGAGCAGAGAAGGGAAAATAAGGGCAGTCTCCCATTCACTCTGAATAAATATATTCAGCATATATTCTCACTGAGAAAGACACTAACCTACTACACAAATAAACTCTGTAAATTTACTCACTACCTTGATGTCACACTCTTATCTTTTTTCAGATTTTCATTGATATTAGCAACAATTTGCTGTCTGCATGACTGTCAGTTTTCAGAATACAATTTACTGAAATTTAGTCTTCAATCTTCTCCAAATAAATTTAAAAAGACTAAATCAGAATGTAAATTTTTCAGAACAAGAGCATTTCACATCAGGTGTAGCACAAGGAGAGAGACCCTGAGCACTGTCACAGTCTGACTGAGAAAAACTGAATACTGCAAATACCACAGATAAAATCCCCGTCTATACCTCCAGGAATCTCAGGAAGTCCCTTTCAACCTAAATGATTCTGTGCTTCTGCAAAGTAGTGTGAGCTCTTACCTTTAAGTGTGGAATCATCTTCTCCAAGATTTATAGTGTTTAATCCCTCCTTTTTCACACAACTGACACTTCTCCTTCCACTTGTAGGGTTCTGTAAGCTGCAGCAACTTTTGTTAGAAAGTTGCTCCAGTATGTCCAAGCCCACATCACCATCCTTTCTGGTTAGCATTTGTGATCTCTGATCACCATTTGCATTTCTGCTATTGGATCTTCCTAGTTCATTTCTCTGACATTTGACACCCTCATTAGTCAGATCTGAAAAGTTTTTCATTATTTCTTCTGACTGTGTTTGAAATCTCAAGCCTGAACAATGTTCTGTAGCAAGCCAGGGAGGTTTCTGCTTACTGGAAGGAACTTGATTGTTCTCTGTAACATGGGAAGATGACTGTAACCAAGAAGGAACAGCACCTGTAGAATCAGACAATTTTCTTCCTTTTAGCTTTTCCATTTGCTCGCTCAGAGTAAGTGCATCATCAGACTCAACTTGCTCCATAACTGCTTGTACTGTTGCATTCTCTTTGGCATCTTTTATACAAACTGCAGATGGTAACACTTTTACATTATCCTTTAAGTCAGGCAATTTTTTCTTTGTAAAGCTGATGGAGTTCATATTATGCTCAAGAAGATTTTCTTCTGGCAGAGATTCCCAGTTTAGTGAAGTACTGTTTGACTGTAAGCATTCAAAATATAAGTCTGCTTTCTTCTCTGTGACTCCAGGTGCATTTGCTTCTTTCCTTTCATTTGAAGAATACGCAGAGATATCTTGCTTGTGATCTGTGAAGTCAATTGTAGTGCTATGGTCGGTGAGCAGATCCCCAGAGGCTCTCTCTAATTCACCATCAAATACAAGGTTCTCATCAACATATAACTTCACCTTCTTTACTCCAACATCAAGGTCCTACAAAAATAAAGTATCAAGACTTCAATTAAGTTATTCAAGCATTAGATATCACTGTTCTGGAACTCTGACATTTGAATGCTTCATCAATCAGCAGACGAAAACAATTAAAACCCCGTATCAGTAACATGCTTTTGACTACTTTTTAATCAGAAACTCAAACAACTGCAAAATACTGTGGAATATTTAAGCTTTTATTCAAAAGGACTAAAAGCCCTGCTAGACAGTACTACGAACCATTTTGGCTGACAAGGCTTAAATATTTAGAAAAGCTTGAGCAAAGAAGCCTAGATTAAGTATTATTATATTTGATCAGGATATAAATTCCAGAGGCACATTTTGCTTCAGCGTCTTTAAGATTCACCACTTTCACGACATGTTCCACAGTGAACAATCACCCAGATCAAAGCCACCAGAGTTAAAAAGAGTTATAAAAAATATAAGGCTGGAAAAAAAAAAAAGGTGGAAAAGCCCGGGGGGGAAAAAAAAAAAAAAAAAAAAAAATCATTCAGTCCATCTCTTTCCACCAAATAAAGTAAAATAACCTATACACCATTGTGAAGAAATCTGTTTTTAACAGTTTTCAAATAATCTGCCTTGATAGCCTATTCCAACACTTAACTATCCTTTTAAACAGAAGGCTTTTATCTCAGACACAAGTTTGTCAGTAACAACTTCATCTCTACGTGCTCCTTTTCTTGGCACCCACTAAAACCTAATTTTTTCATTCCATTAAGTTGGAACTCATGTTCTTTCTATTCTCTTTATCATGTCCATCTAACCTTTTTTCCCTCTTGACAACAATACTGGTATCTTCAAAGAAAACATAGACGATAAGACAAAATGCACCTCCTTTCTGCCCTCTAAATTTCAGCAACACATCCATCACGTGGAGTCTTTAAAGTCTCTCTGTTCTTTCCCTTTTTGGAAACTGAGAAGCTGTTCTTGAAAGTAGGAAGTTTCAGTTTCATCCCTACTGCTCATCTCCTGCATGTCAATTCTTTTTCAATACTGATTTAAATCTTCCTCTGCTCCCAGCCTAAAGCAGTTACTCCTTCACCTTCCAGTACAAGTGTCTCCAGTTCTTCACACCCGCATCCACTCTTTACAGTTTACCAGTCTTTATAGCTTCCATTCTTCTGCTTTCCAAATAATAACACGTATGAGGCAAAAAATGTAACATGGACCTACACAGGGGGAAAACCAGAAGATGCAGGTATAACAAGAAAGCTACATTTGAGGGAGGGGAGTAGATGTAGGAATGCAAGACACACTCCTGATAGAAAAAGATAACCTTCACTAACTTCTCAGAGAACAGCAGTAAACTCAGTTTAATTGGCCATTATGTCATGGCTGCCTGTGTTACTCCTAGAGTATCATAAAGCGCTGTATGGCTGTAGTGATGCATTTGGCCATAAAACATAGTATTTTTTCCCCTTGAACAAGGACACGGCTAGATTAATCTAATTGAGGATCAAAACACTTTAATAATTGTATATGTTAAAAATGAACTACATGGCTCCGCCTGAAATTATGATGGGGAAGAGCAAGAATATCAGGACACCCTAGTAATGTTATTTTTTGAATCTTTGTATGCCTGGACTGTTAATGTCTCCCCTAAATGCTACAGATATTGGATATTCACAGTTGAATTTGGGATAACTGCAACATTTCTACATAATAGCCTAGCCTTTACTGCTGTTATGAATACTCAAACCTTAGTTCTGTGTTTTTACCTGGGAACAGATACAAACTGCACGGAAACACAGAAATAGACACATACATATTTTGAAAAGTATTTGTCAATTTCATCTTTTTAAATGAAAATCATCAACCTCTTAAGAACAAAATGTTTTTAAATGAATCCCACTCCACCCATCAGTACTGCAGGAGGACAGGTAGACAGAGAAAACATTACAAAATTAAATGGTGAAGCCTGTTCTCCGTGGAAGAGGGACAGTCGAGTAGAGAAAAGGGCCAGTCACTTCAAAATTACTATTCTAGTCAGTGGGAAATCTCTTCCTTTGAGTTTTGGAGTATCTGGGACAGGTATCCTAGGAAGCATCCCCAAAAGAGGTGTCTGGAATATATCAAGATGAACTAGCCAAAGCTACAGATATTTCTAAGACAATAGAGACAGACTGAACTGGGTAAGCATTGACAACAGCTGTTAGCTCAGAAGATCCATTTACTCATGAAGTACCAGTAAAGCAGATAATGAAAATTTCTTACACCAAAATTCTAAGCAGACTCAGGCTGAGGCAGGAAAAATATGAACAGATCTCAGGGACTCCAAGAACAAACGTGCAGACACAAGACTAAGAACTGCTGTTTTTCATTCCCTCCCATCCCTGCTCTGAGCTTCCAGTCACTTAGTGATCGGATGTGGTGGGGAAGATTGACAGAATGGTTAGCTTCCCCAGTACCACTGCTGACCCCTCCTCGAGAACCCTCCTCGAGTAGGAGGAGGTTGGAGAAATCCCTTCCTTGTCAGTAATTCCATCAGGAAGTCACCCTATAAACAAACACTCAATACTTCATCCAAGGCAGGTTTTTTTTCCTCTCAGATGAGTAATTACAATGGCACAATGTCTCAAAACAAGCAGGCAGGTATGATCAACATCAGAGGGAAAAAAAAAAAGAAATATTTTCTGAAAATAATTCTATGGTTTCTCTTGATGTTCCTTCCCAGCTTGCAATTTCGGCCCTCACAGAGTGCCTGCTGTGATAGTGCTTTCCAATGAAGCACCAGGGATGGTATTTCTGGCCATTTCAGTGATATTTGTGCACGAAGGACAAAGCTTAAAACCAGCAGCACTTATCTGCAAATCACACCCGGACAGATGACTTGAAGTCGCCTCTGCCTGACTTCTCACAGAAGAGTGTAAAAGAAGCAGCAACAGAAAATAAGTCAAGAACTAGAAGAAAAGAATTCTTCTATAAACCTAACTCCGCTGGAACAAGGCTGCTGCAGCGCCACGCAGCCCAGTGGTAAGGCCAGCACTGAAAGAAATCTCCAACTCCAGAGAACAGCCGTGAACATACAGGCAGAAGGAACACGCATATGGGCAATCACTTGAAGGAGAAAGTGATCCAACTGGAGACCAACTGAGGCCTTCACACATTTAAGTCTTAATTCCATTCACAGATTTGTGAAGACATACAACAGACATTATACTGGATCTTGGGAAAAGTTGTAATAGCATCGAGTAACAATGCTTTTTCAAGGCTGCAGCAAGCATGTGCAAAATGCCTGAACACTTCAGACAAACTTGAAAAGAATTTAAACTTGATCTGTTCTTGCAGACTAAAAGCGACCTCCCTTTAACGCAGACCTCATCTGAAGTAAAGGGAAGAAGCAGCATTCTAAACCCTTCCTTGTAATACTGAATGAAGGAATCTATGACAATGATGTAATCTGACTTTTACAGCTTCCTTCAGACATATTTTTTCTACTTCCAGATAGAAGTTCGAAAACTCAGATGTTTTCAACAATACAAAAGTACCAGCCTGAACTGATTTTTTGTTTGCTTTTTTTAAGATGTACTTGGGCACCTCTCACTTCTGTAGTTTTTGAGGGAAAGAAGGAGGTTAGAGTGATTACCAGAAAAATGACAGAGAAATCTGGCTCTGGATGTACATTACCAGGAAGAAAATTGCTAGCTAATTGTATTTTTGGGTTTTATACTTCTCAGACAAAACCTCCTCGTGACAAATTACAGAACTAGGCAGAACTGCTTTGTATTATTCTTTCAACTTAACGATAATGAGACATTTCTTTAGTCAGTGTAGACTGCTGCACTGCCACCAAAATCCACGGGATTATACTCCTGATGGATTTTACAGCTTGCCTCATAGAGGTTTATTAACAAAAAAAGTGCCTTGAAACACAGAAATATATTTATGTGTATTTCCAGCATTATATTCAATAGGTTTGGTAACAAATCATACCATTACCTCCAAAAACAGCAGTTGCTTTCACCCTCTCTAATGATGATGGAACATTCTGTAGTCCATATTTTAATAGAAAAAGCTATTAAAATTCCAGAAAATAAATATAAATCATGTGATAGTAAATTTGTTTAAGCTGTCCCTTCCATGGCTATTTCCATATGTATAAATTACCATATGTGCTTATATAAGAACACAGATGAGAGCAAAACCAGAGGGATAAAGCCTCTTATTCATAATCCAGGACAGCAAATCCTCTTTGATCCAGTACCTGGTATTTTTTTCTTAACATTGCAGTGTACAAAAAAGAATAATTTCCATGGTGACATTCAAACACACAAACAGGAGACCATCTGCCATAAGACGTCTTTCTAGTAACTCTAGATTACTTGTTTTATTACGAACGCACAGTTAGAGTTAGCATACTTCTTCATTAAAGCGACAAAACCAAAACCAAGCAACAGTCAGCCTATTTATACCTACATACATGAGAAAAAACATATTTAAACACATATTTATTTATATTGTGATAAAACAACTGGAAGTCGTGAATATTAAGATGAACTTACCTTTGTATCTTTATTTCTCACCACAGTAAAGGATTAACTGACAGAATATGCAAGACTTTTGCTAGGTCTCTTGAGATCTTTAATAGCTTTGAAAGAAAATGCTAATTGTGCCTATGAAAACATTAACACTTACGTTGCTACCACTCACAACTAAGACACAATTAAATTCCACAGTAGCCATGGACCCCTCCTAGCTCCCCATTTCATTAGAGGAAACGGTATGTACTTTTATTTCATACTTTTGGAAAGAAGAACAAACCAAGTTTTCCCAGGCAAAGTCAAGTATACACACAGAGGAGTTGAGAAAAGACTACTTACACTAGGAGTTGTTGTGTTGTAATTCCAAATCTTGATCTTGGATATACCAAAGTCATGTGACCGGGTGGGATTGCGGATAACGAAGTAAAGTTGGATGGGCGGATGGAAAGGGCACATCCAAAGGAAGCTTTCCTTCGTGGTCTAAAAACACATACAAGCAGACTGTCACTAATACTCTTTCTCCTAAAGCAGGATATCGCAATTAACTCACCACCCCACAGAAAAATACACATTGATTAAAAAAGTAACCATTTAATAAAATCTATTACGTTAAGAGCAAAACCTTAACCTCATTTCCAAGCAGTAAATCCGACTCTCCTGCCTGTAAGACAGCTCACAACAACCTGGCAATTAGATGAAGGTCAGCTGCTTGCTGTCCCAGTAAGACATCTGCATGCTCACAAATGACAGGCAGTCTGCCATGCTTTCTAAGTGGAGGGTCGAAGCAAGCCCAGTTTATTTTAAACAAATTAATCAGCTTTGCAGGCACTAGAGGGGATCACTGAGCACAATGGACACTGTGTAATCATTTCACAATTTCTTAAAGTGCTTACACTTCTGTTTTGCCCTCTAAAGAGGGGAATCTTACAGAATTTTATTTCACTGCCTCTATTTTAATCAGGCTTTGCAGACAACTGATTCCACTTACAGATCTATTCCTTAGAGCTATAGATAGCACTCTACACTCAACATTTTCTAAGACATTACAGAAATCCCCAACATGAATTTTACAGACAACTGACAATCAAGACATTTTAAAGTATCAAAGAATGCCTAATTCTGGACATTGTTCAGAACTGCTGCCTTTACATGTTCAGAAAGGAAGAAAAACGATGTGTGGCAGCTCAGGAAGAAGTAAGGAGTAACGAATTTCAAAATCAAATGTTGAATATTTGTTACCCCGAACCAGAGACAAACAAGGGTACATATGCATGCAGACAACACTTCAGTGATCTGAGACTGGCATGTAAATAGAAAGGTAGATAATTTTCAACAACACACTGCACATACAGTCACACAGGAGGTACACAAAGTCAGTATTTTTCCCACATTCTTTCCATTTGAAGTGACTTTTTCAGTTTTGCCTGAAGGCAGTAACTACACAACTTTCCTGTCCAATACTTCAGATGTGTGCCTAATGATGGTTTAAAAGACCTTTATATGCCTATAAGAATCAAAAAGGTTTACGGAAAACAATCCCAATGAAATACCTAATCCACGTCGTATCAAGCATTACATCCCATCAGGCACTACTGCCTTAGTTGAGAGCACCTGATGTTCTGCCCAGTATTTTTTTCTTTTACAGTGTAACACAAAGTACAAGCTAGGAGGGAATTGAAGTGTTCTTAAAAGTCTGCAAGGGTAATAAATAAACTAATAAATAAATAAAACCCTGATCTTCAATAAGAGTATGTCTACTCTCAAAGACAAATGTACACCTAAACGATCAAAGATGGAAGTGTTTTAAGCCTGGTAAAGTGAATTTTCCACAAAGTAAATTTTTATGTTAGCTTTCATTCTGTTGAAAATATTAGTTGCTTGGAGATTCATTAATTTGTTTTTTGTGCTAATGCACCCCAAAGCTTTCCAGTATGATCTGAAATGTACACAAACTGGAAATGCTGCTTTGACTTCTGAAGGTGTCTGCAGTTCAGTTATCACATATCCACATTCTAAGACCATATTCCCTGTCCAGATTGCATCTTCTCTGACACAATACCTTTCCAGTTTCGAGAGGAGATTACAGTGTCACAGATCAAAGGAATATACTAATCAAAGAAATATAAAACCTCATTACTTAAGAATAATGGTATATATAATATATGAGAAAACCTGAGGATTAATGAATATATTACTACTTAATTTATAATTTTCTAGAAAGTCTGAGGGTCACTATTACTACTACTGAGTGTCATCTGCCAGCGAACACAGCATATAAATGTGAAGGGGTATTTATGACATCCAAACTACAATTTTCAGGAGACAGTAAGAAAGATGTTTCAAGTAAAAATATTTGTCTGGAAATAATAGTCCATATTGAGTTTCAACTAAATTTCAAAATCCTGCATATTTACCCTCTTTCTATTCTCATTCACCCTGTAAGCAAAAAAGTATCATTAAAATTAAATGAGTTGGAATTTATATTTTTCAGTAGACTAAGTCATTTAGCTTCCTCATCCACTAAAATCATACTAATTTTTACTAGAATCCTAGCTCTAAAGGCCCATGGAGACAAAGGACATACAGTGAACGTGCAGCACAAATGAAATGATGGCTGTACAAAGGGCTACGAACATTTGCTAATCTCTGCAGTAGCACCAGCATTTCCTACCACTTATTGTCTTTTGTATGGAAGCATCTCATGTCTACTCATCATCTCACAGAAAAGCCATGAAATACTTTTACTGTGCTACACATTTTTCTTAATCTCTTGTTCAAAACAACCTACCTACACATTTTTATTCTTCCATGATTCTTCTGTAGGTAAAAGGATAACAAGGGCATAGAAGAAAATAAGTGTGTTTCCTTCTTAAGTTTAATTAAATTCATATGAAATATCTGGAAGAAGTTAGCAGTAAAGCTCCTATACCTTCAGATCACAAGAATTATTGAAGTTTATACACAGACATGCTGCAAAAATGTGAAATTCCCTGTTCTTAAAGTTTTGTGATCTCGTTCTACAGATACTATGACCACAATACAATACTTCAAAAACTGAACATGTTCTTTCATCCGAGACAATACCACAGAGTTAACGTATAAGGAGGCAGAGTTAAAGCGGCCTCCTTCCAGTTGCTCGGTTAAGTCAGTCAGGCAAGTTAATCAAATCCTGTTCTAAAACAAAATCATAACCGAATACCAACATCTTGGACAGGAAAGCTGGATTTGCTAATAATAAGCAAAATCTGTATTTTTTTTAAATTATCAAATAATTGTTATGCAAGTCAGGTTCCAAATTCAATCATGTTTCTAAACAAAAACCCCAACGATAGAATACTAAAGAAAGACTATAAGGAGAAATTCTCACATGCAGGACTAAGCTGTCTTACATTTAAGTTCTTATTGACCAAGCAGCACAAGTCTCCTGCGTTGTCAGCATTTCGAATGTCCACATCATGAGGAGACACAAATATCTTTTCATTGTGTAAGTCAAAGAATTCCACCTCGCTGAGGCCCACGTTTACTGGATTTCCCCAGTTAGAAAGAAGTTCCATAGTCACATAAATGGCATCACGTACTTCTATACCGGTTGTCATCTGGACCAAAATAAAATACAATATAAACGTAAATGACAAAACAATCAAGCATGGAACAAGAGAAAGACTGTTAAGACTACAGTATTGAGGAGTCAGAAGCAAAAAGCTTGCAAACCCAAGGCTACCTAGATGATATTCAGTCATTCTGGGTTCCATCACTACAGCCTCACATCAACTTCATCTATGGCAGGGTTAGAGAAGAGAACTTATCATGCTCTTACAAAGCCTAAGGAGAAAACAGCTGTCTGTTCTTTGTCAGATTCCTCTGTCATTCTGATGAACACAGGAACAGTGATAAATTCTCTTCTCTGACTCTGTCATAGGTTTATTAGTTGACCTGAGTGCAGAATCAGTGGAATACAGATCATTCAATGTACTTTCATTTCAGTAATACTGGGAAGCATCAGTTATGGTGCATATATACACAAACCTTCTCTCTCAACATGGAATCTACTTCAGATTTGTCATCAGATAGGAGTATGTCATCATCACAGGCAGAATGGCTCTCAGGCTCCGGAAGGACTTCCAGAAGTTTCTTTTGTTGTCTGAAACATACATATTCTTTTATGTGTTACTTCCTCACAATTCTTGTATTTCTAAGAAACAGTTTTGTTCGTGTGATGGTGAAGAGATGATAGAATGAACCCACACACCCCACAGAAGAATCCCATGTACCCCCACGATGAATGAACAACTGATGCAGCATCCCACCTTAAATACATAGAGTTTGGTTAAAAGACAGGGCTCCAGCTCTCAGCTGGTTCTGAGGCAGTCTGAGCAGGTAATACATAGGTAATAGAAAGACAAACAGAGGTAGATGTTGGCAGTTCCCTGATACACAGAGACTGGCCCAAGACTGGAACCTTCTCCTTGATTTGCTACTGCTTGCACGATGTCTCAGATATCTAAATATTACCAGTTGTAGTGGCACTACACTACACCTGGTGGTATACTGAAAAATGTCTCTTTTTCAAAAAAGGAAGCTACTCTTCAAGGAAATATATATATACCTGCTTCCAAAAGGACAAGTTGTCTCAGCAGCTTTTGTGACTGTAGTTCTCATTTGGCTTTTTTCTGGAGGTTCAGCCATTGCAGAAACAACAGATGAAACAGAAAATTTCTTCTAAGCAAGAAAAAAATGAACGTTTCATTCACAGTGTTCTCTACATACCAATGAGTATCATTCTGCGCCTCTGCAAAAAATAAGAGTTCGGGCCCAGCTCTGGTCTCAGTTAACCTTAGCTAATCTGTAACTCCATATGGAGTTAAAGCACATTCAACAGAACAGGTCTTGATCTGAAATTAAAGAGCTGAGCTTGGAGCTTGATCTTCTATGTGGAAGAAAAGTAACATAAAAGCGTTCCCTGATGACTTTTAAAACAAATATATATATATACACACATACACGTCTGAAATCTCACTGTATACATTTGGTAGGACTCAGAGCTGGCCAAAGGTTCGGCACAGGTCTGCCTAGACTCTCCCCTTCTCAAAAAAAAAGGATCATAAAGACTTTTAAACCGAAAAAAGTTCAGTTTTATTAGAATCTTTTTTTTTTTTTTTTTTTTTTTTTAATATAGAACTATCAGTAGTGACTATCTAAGAGGAAACAGAGGAAAAGGCCTGCAGTTCTTACAATGCTCTGGGCTATTTCTCTACCTGTACCCCACTTTGTAAGTATACCCTGTTCCCCTTGTTACTTTTCCTAAAAATTTGTTGGTAGCTTCTATCAGAGACAGAATATTCAGCACAGTGAACAACAGTCAGATGAGGAATGGCAGTCCTTCTCTTAGGTCACTTCCATTTCTATAATTTTTGAAGAGTAAGAGAACTTTAAAATGCTTAGAAGTTAATTACTTTTTCAGTATTAGAAATTCTGTATTTTTATACATTTAAATATCAAAGGCCAAGTTCTATAATCCCTTTATTGTGGAAATTACAAAATTAAATTACTTCTGGAAGATCATTTAGGTCAGCCTTAAGACTGAGAACTCACAGTGGGTTTTTGAAACTCCACCTCAAGTGTCAGGGTAAAATTACATCTATTTTAAATATTACTTCATTATTTTTCATTTAAGCACAACAGTATTAAAATTAGTCCTAGCAGGAATATACATTCTGTGAGAATATTCAATGGAATTTATTCTCAATCACAAAGCTATAAATATCTCAAAAACAAGAGGAGTAAGATTGCAAAGTTGACCTAGAGGGTAAAATCGTATGTAAAGTACTTACCTATAGTAAAAACACATTTTAAACTTTGCTCCTAAGCAAAATTTCCCAGAAACCTAATGTTGGCTCAGCGATGACAGTGGATACATATTCATCATAGCATGAACTCACAACTCCAAGAAGCATCAGCTTAGGTTAAAGGAGTCAGCTGTCCTGGAAACTCTCAGAATTCAAACGAGTAACTCCAAGAATGTCTAGGCATATCTCTTTTCCTTCCTATAAAAATAAGTTTCCTAAACACCAGATTGGAAGTAGAGTTTGAATGCCTGACCACTGTCCATAACACAGTTTTATATATTTCTGTTTATGCTCAATTTCTTTAGGTGCTTTCTTTCTGTTAGGAGAACCGAATTACTCGTTCTGCTCAAAGTTTAGCTAGAATTGTCAACACAAACCTCCTTATTCTTTAACTTAATGAGGAATAATGGTCTGACCTGAAACAGAAGGGAATTAATTTTGGTTGATTTCCTTGTTACAAGTATTTAATTGGTTTTAAACATGGTTGTCGGAGATAAGAGACGTACACATATTGGTGCAGAAAACCTATACTAGCTCCTCCTCACTAAGAGCCAGCAGCGTACGTGACAGCTCTGCTCCAAAAGCAGAGCATGTATCAACAGGGAACAGATCCCACATAGGAGTCCAGCAGGAAGGCAGGATTTATCGGTACAGAAATCACACATCGTCTTGTTTAAGAAGCTTCCAGAATGAAAATGGCTCAACTAGGCCTGCAGCTGTGCCTTTGACTGTATAGACATAACATGTGGCTGGTCTACCAGTTGCTCCGTGATGTCTGAAATCAAGAAAGCTGTGGGATGCTAACCTGAGGAGGCAGATTAAAGAAAACCACCCTATGGAAGAACAATACAAATTCAATCACACTTAAGAGGCACCACCATTCATTCATACATAATACTAATGTATAAGAGATTGTAACTCATGGTGGTTTTGCCACTTGATCAAACAGCCCCTTTCTGCATTTTGCCATACCTTTTGAGGGCTTGTGGAAACTGTCTGCCTTTGCAGGTCTCTCTGCAAGACTTTGCTTTCAATCTGCATTGCTTTAACCACAGCTGAAACTGAGAGATCAGGATCCTTCTCATACACGTTCTTTCGAGTTGCTGAAAGTGGTCTTTCCAGTCGACTCAATGGTCCTGCCACCAGAAGAAGGAAGGAATATTCATTTGTCCAGGCATATAAGTATCGAACAGTACAACAGCATACATCTGAAACATCCAATTCAGTTACTGACACTGGGCTTTGCTAGCAGTCTGTAACCATACCAAGCGAGGCTGAATTGCTCCAATTTGTTTTTATATTAAGATTCCAGGTCACATCTACTTTAGACAACAGCTGAAACAGTATTATAAGAGGAGAAAAACTGACAAATGAGAAACATAATTTTTATGCTTTAAGATTTTTTTGTACTTGCTTTGTTCACGTATTTAATGGAAATGCCTTGTAACAGTTTATTGAAAGAAGAAGCATATATAATTTCAGCACACCATAAATTTTCAATGTAACTGGCGTGTTCAGATATTTTGGAGGAATCCCCAGAGTCTTCTAGGAAAACAAGGGGAGTGAGGAGTTCCTATTTGCAAGGCAAAATAAATGACCTTATCACTTAAGTAGTCATCAAAATGCCCATACACATCCCAGTCTTCCCAAACATCACAGAGAAATAGAAATGCCACAGCCTATAAACAGGTTTAAAGAAAGGAAATAAAATTTAACAATGGAGGATCTGAGACTGGACTCAAACAGAAGCACAGTGGTTATATTCAAAAGAGAAGAACAGTGGTTACATTCAAGGACTTCAAAAGTCAAGGGAAGAAAAGAGACCAAAGTTGTACAGACATTAAGACCAAGTGAAAATATTGAAGAACATGCAAGCGTGCTCATAATGCTGCAGCAAGGTTTACTAAAAAGGAGAGTAAAATGGCAGTGGACGCTACCAACATGAAGTCTACCTTGGAAAGGCAGGGAGTTACAAGAGGGATACTGTCAAAATTCACTCACAGAGATTTGCATGCATTCACATTCAGCCCTATGCCATCTTTTCTCATAAAAACTTTCAACAAGCATTAGTCATCTCTCCAAATACAGAGACAGAATAAAGTTCTTATAATTTTTCTATACTATACCATCCTTGTGAAATGAAATTAATGTAAGGATTTAAAGTGAGAGTTAGACAGATACAGTTTTAACAAGCACTATTGTAACCTGAGAAAACACTACACACATTTCTGGAAAACGGTCAAAGCAAGCATCTGCTCAGACAGATGGTGGGTGAGGGTATCAGAAGCTACAGAGGATTTACTCTGAAGCCAAAAAGAATTAGCTGCTTCTCTTCAATTTGATTTTCTGCCAACTAAGAAACTAATATTTTGACTTTTCAAAACCGTTAGCTTTATTGCTTTCTGGGGACACATCTAGATTTTGCTTTTTTGAAAAGAGTGTCTTAACCACAAAGTATGGTAAGTCTGCAAACTTTATCTCAGAACATTCAAAACTAAAGTTCATCAGATTTGTTCAGTGAAGGATTGTGCTGAAATAACAACTGCAGCTACGACTTCAGCCTCCAGATTTGGGGTTTGGGTGGGGTTTTTTTGTAGCCCAGGTAAAGACCACACTTCAGCAGCAGATTTCTAGAATAAACAGTAGTGCCTTCAAAATAGTGTTCTCCAGTCCAGGAAAAACATTTTCCGGTATGGTACTAGGTACTGGCACATCTACCCAGCACTGGAGACTGACCTGCAGTGTTCCAGGTGTAATTCAAGTACAGTCCTAAGCAGCAACAGAGCTAGTTTTGCTATGCTGTGGGTAACTATGCCTTTCTTACTATAAATGGGTTTTGTTAAAATCTTCCACCAAAGCATCAATTGCTGATTTTGAGGAGACACACTTCTGTTAATACCATAGGGAACAGATCTCTGCGAGGAAAGTGGGAAACAGAGCAAGCACAAGGATTGAAAGGGAGGGGAAGAAGTCTTATGCCGTGGAAAGAAAAAGAGAAGGAAGGTTTTAAAGATGTAGCAGAAGACTAAAAAGTATACAAAGTATACAGGCTCTGGACTTTCTCACAATTTTACTTATGTTAAAACACTGGAGGTGATAAAAACAACAACAAAAAACCCACAAAAAAATATAAAGACAACAGCTAGGAAAAATTACATGACAACAGATGCGTGCTGAAATTACATCCTATCCAAAAGGGAAAAAAAGCAAGAAAACTCTCCTTATTGACATTATATATTCTTATTTCTTACTAGAATAAATTCTTTCATGTCTTTCCTGCTGCTGGCCAAGGCCAAGTCCATCAGTGACAGTGGTAGCTCCTCTGCAAAAACATACTTAAGAAGGGGAAAAAAACTGCTGTGCAACGGCAGGCGGGGGGGGGGGGGGGGGGGAAACAAAACAAAAAAACAAAACCAATGAATGTACCTGAAATAGGTGGGGAGGGAATTTTAGAAATACTGAACGTAGCTCGAAGTCTGGTTTCCACCTGAACTCCCTACCTTTAACAAGCTAAACACCTTTGAGACCTAATGACTGGTTTGGGGTTTGGACATTGAGGTCTCCAAAAGAGAAGATCTGACAAAAAGAAGGGGCTCATAGGCAGATTTGTTTTCTCATCTGGGATGAATAGCACACACTATGATGACAGGTATCCAGCACCCAGGATGTAAAATGGAGAAAGTTGAGACTAGGAAGATTTGGCTGTCTGGATTACTGCAAAAACACTTAAAAAATATATTTAAAAAAATTAATAATCTCTTGAGAAATCCTACAGACACTCTGAGACAATCTTAGTTCAAGTGTCTAGGCCTGGTGACGCAAGTGGGTTAACCACGGCTATATCTTTGTCTTTGGAAAAAAGTTCTTAACATAAGAAGGTAGTAAGAGGGCGCAAGTCTCCCAGACCAGGAGACTAAAACAACAGATATGCTGAAGAGCATGAAAACTCACGAGAGTATGGAGTAACCATCAACAATTAACCACCAGCAATTCCCTTAGAAGCAATGCTCTCAAAGAACTCTTACAGTACTGTACTACTGCATAATACAGAGACTTACTACTTTGATCCTGGTTGAACTCCAACACAGTAAGGGCACCAGAATCAAGGCCAGAGCATCTCCCAGCATCCTGACACTCAGAAGCTTCTTGCTGCAGCGATCTACTGCTATGCAACTGAAGGCCTCCAAAGCCTGTAATTGTTTCCTCAGTGGAAGGTGGTTCTGAACACACATCCTCTTCAACAGAGTCATAATCATCACTACAAGAGTCTTCTTCCACCCTTTTCTCTTCTATACCAAGTTGCAAGCTTCTTCTCAATTTCTGGTACAATTCAAACAGATTTGTCAGAAAAGCTTAAACATGTATTTTAAAATAAACCAATGTGGTTGCCCCTTCCTCCACCAAGAGAAAGAAAAATCTTCTGATGAACTCAGAGTTGTAATGCAGCTAAAAATATTCACCTGTTTTCACTCCACTGATGAGGACTTGTAAAGAAAAATCATCCTACAACTCCTTTGTTCCTTCTCACCAGAATCCTTACAGGAAAATCCTGTAGGCCAACGAATGTTTACATGCCAAACGAATTTTTAGGAATAAGTTCCAGACAGGAGGTAAGTAATGGACAGGTCAAGGGCATATATTTTTCCAGCATCACACAGTTATATTACCTTATATTTTGGCTTGCTATTTGAAGACTAGCTGCAATACAGATTTTCCAAATGCCTGCACAAGACTACAAAGCTAATGTAATAGCAACTTCTTTATATGCAACTGGATCAATTATAATAGTCCTGTCTTGTACACATCTGTACTTCAAAAAACAGGAGAAAAGACTTATGGTCTAATGGACTAAGTTTCCACTTTGCACAGATTTTTTTTTTTTTTTTTTTTAATTGGACAATCTGTAACAGGATTTTACGCAAAAAATTAATCTATGTTGAAATTTGCTGTGGAAAAAAACTGCCCTGCCTCTCACAGCATATGCCACAAACAGCATAGATGAGGCCGGAGAGCTTTTTGGTTTTATGAATGTAAAAGCAAAAGACCTTGCATACCCTAAATGCATTTTTTTCCTGCTTTGTTGGTATTAGAGTTTTGAGATAAGTATAAGTAAGCAAACTGTGTAAGTAAAACAAAAATCCGCAGCTATCTTAGGTACAAATGAACTGTGACAGTGTATGTTCAGTTTGCAATGAAAGTTTCAAGCTGCTCTTCTGCTACAGATTACACTTGTTAGGAAATCCATGTTGACACAAACATATTTCTTAGAGCAGGCAAACTTCGGTTCAAAAGAGAGTCTATAAGCAACCTGAGGCCTAATATTGAGCATGTCTTTATGACAGTCAAGACTAATATTTCTAGCTATTTGACAGGGAACTGTACAGGCTTTCTTTTAGTTTGAAACCTCATGACGTCTGCATTGTAACAAGACATTCAAGAAAACACATTATAGCTTCAGGAAAACCGAAAGTATTTCCATCTGGAATACAGAGAAAAGTGGGGTTTTGGTTTAAAACTATCAGCTTACATAAATGATTGTAAATATCCATCACTGTACACAAGTTACTGGTTTGCAGAGCAAAAAAATCATAAGCTCAAAAGCAATATAGGAGAGGTGAAAAGATGCAAGCTATGAAAATACGCTTGGATGTTTGTCTGATGTCAGTGGTAAGATCAGTAGACAGTTTCATCCACAGACGCTACTCCACAACCCAGAAAAGCTTTATTAATGTCATTAATTGGTTAGGCAGAAAAACATTCATAAATTTTTGTTCATGTATTCATTTTTTTAAGGACAGGACGTTTGTGAAGTATGCTAGAACAGACTGAAATTAGCAACCAAATGAAGGCTGAACTGTCATACAATGGAGTCAATACAATAACAACCCTTGATGGAAAGAAACTGTATTGATTATAATATTTTAAAAACTTTATTCTGACTTCTGTTAGGTTAAACAATGACATACGACAATTTTAACATGATTGTTCAAAAATCTAACCTAAAACCAGAAAAAGTTGTTATTTAAGCTTTCTCTAATCTGATAGCCAAGAGTGACGTCCATGAGGACAACCATTACACGAACTGAAAGAGTCTCCTAACATGAAATACTTTGGTTCTATCCAACAGAGACAATATTCTACCTCTTTAAATTAGGACTTCACATGTTATAGAGTTGAGATCAGATTTTCAAAGTAGTTTTACTTTTTCTTTTCATTTTTTCCTTCTTTATGACACATCTCATCAATGCAAAATCATCTAGTCAAAGAAACAGTATATGCTGGGTTTGCATGCTCTAGTCAAGACCAATACCTGGGCCTGTTCGCATTTCAGTTGACACTGCCGCGAACAATAGAAGGCAACTGCCAATTGTACCTGGGAGTAATGGAGAGGATCATCAGCATTTGTATCCATGTTCAAGCTTTCATAAGGTTCAAAATCCTCAGAGTACTCAAGAGGAGGTTTAATGCAGAGTTTAGCCCCTCTTTCTGTTTTAATCTCCACAGTTTTCTGTTGAAATAAGCATTTAGTGAAATCAGACATCTTTTGTGCTATCAGCTGTACAAAAAGAATAATCATCGCATTTTTACATAACAATATCTAGATGAAGCAATGCTTTTCCCCCTTTGCTCCATATAAGGCTTCTGTCCTCCCTGAGCTCACCTTCGGGCCCCTGTGTTACCGTGTAACTGCCCCACTCAGACTCCCGAATTGCTGCTGCTATCCCTGGCGTGGATCAGACCCAGCACACATCAAACCAGTATGTAAGCAGTGATCCACTGAGAGAAACAGCAGCCGAGAAAATGAATTCAGCTAAGCAGTAAGGCTGATCAATCAAGTAATGCAGCCTTAAAACTTGAATGTGCAATATTTGGTGAAAGCAAAGAAGACCTGCGTGACACGAACACTTGATCTGCAGTGACACAGACCCCGGCTCCTCAGTCACTCAAGCACGGACTGGACATCCAGCCAGGGCAGTTGCTAATCAAGTAGGGTAATTATTTGGGTGACATGTCTCAGTTGTTCGGAATTCACATTTGTTCTGTTAATTAAGTCACACTCCTTGACAGATGAAGTCAGATCGTTCTTTAGACCTAAACTAAAAAAGACCATTGAGGTTTTTCCAGTGAACCAACAACTCTGTAGCTAATGCCCCCGAATTTCTTATAGGCAGGGTATTTTTATTGTCCATATGCATTTTCCTCTCTTCTGATTTACGAGGACCTGTGACAAATTACAACTCAAGCTATGCAAATTACACCTCTGTGTCCCTTAACACTACTGCAGGGTGGAGAACACCAGTGACAGGCAGTGATGCATCTCCAAAATGAGATTGTCCATCCTTTGCAGCAGATAACCCCTCTGGGCTTGCCATCAGAGATGTCAAATAACAATTATTCTGCTGAAGGACAGATTACGAGAGTACTTAAGCAGAGGTTTAATGCAGAGTTCAGCCCCCCTTTCTGTTTTAACCTTCACGGTTTTCTGTTAAAAGAAGCATTCAAAGAAATTAGACATCTTTTCTGTGTATCAGGACGGACTGAGCCCATCATGTCAAAGCTACAAAAGTTCCTGTGGTGGATGTCACTGAAACCAGACCCTTTCAATGAGATTTGCCTCTTTAGGCTCCAAAGTAGACACGAAACTGGTCTGGATATCATTTCACATTATCACTCAGTATCCAGACCAAACCAAGACTCAGATTCTGCAAGAGTCCCAACTACCCACCATCTACTAGTTGCAACCAATTTCCCCGAAAATTATCTACAATCTAAGTATTAGCTCAAAGGTGCATTCTTTCCAACTGTTTCTTACCTGAAGCCAACCTTTGCGCTGTATTTTGCTTGGTGCAGTCTGTGTGCTGCGTTCTTGCAACTCACTCTCTTCTAGCTGGGCTGCTTTTTCAGAATGTAGAGACAAGAATTAGAAGATGGAAGACAGAAATATGGTATTTGACAACACATACCTTTCAGTTCTTCCCCCCAAGATGAGGACAGAAGAATAAGTCTTTGACATATGAATGGTACCAAAACCTGGAAAGGCCTTCCACTTCAGACACTGGCTAGCTGCATATTAGTAGCAGGAGTATTGAACCTCATCAGGGACACTCATCATTGTGTGCATTCAAGAGAATAAGTTATTTAAAGACACATTGGCTTAACAGCAAATGAAGCCCCATATTAATTGATATGAAAGTATAGAAATATGTCCTAGAATAGGGGTGCACATCATTCTGACTCCTAGCTGGTTAGGCAGTAAGCTGTCTTAGGAAGCCAGCTGAGCCCAGAACCCCTGCTACTGTAGGCAGACTCTGATGCACAGGGTCCTGGTGAACAACAGGTGATATGCTGGGTTTAGAAAGGAATTGTGCTTATTTACTCTCAAACTAAGGGAACATCAGGTACTGGCAGATTAAACAGAATGTACTAGGTGTTTAACATACTGTGCGGAGAAGGATTCTTCATGTACAAGTCAGAAATGAAAGACAATCAATCATTTTCATTCATTTCTAAGGCAAGAAACAGTTGCTTCCAGAACTTCTGCAAATATTCTGTGTATGGACAAGGAGAATTAAGGGTTCCTGTGACGGAAATGGTCCCAACTTACAGTGGAACAATGGATTTTTGAGAAGATGTTTTGACTGAGACAGAGAGACAAACATCTTGCAGGTCACATCAGCATCCTCAATGGAGCAAGGACATCACCAGCACTCTCCATACCATCCTAAACAAAGGCATTTCATTTCCTATGTCCAAGACAGATTTACAGCTTCTATTTCTTCTCAGTGGAGAAAAATAGCTGATGCAAAACCTTTTTTCTTTAAGCCATAATTTAATGGTCACCCTAAACCAGCAAAAACTGGCACTACCAATAAAAGAAGCAGTCGTCCTACAAAGGTCATAGAATCACAGAAAGATTTAGTTTGGAAGGAACCTCTGGAGGTCACCTAGTCCAACTATCCATTCAAAGCAGAGCTTACTCCAGAATTAGATCAGGTTGCTCATTACAACTCTCAATACCATATTTTCTTTTTAGGGTTGGACAATGCTACATGCACCTGTGTTTTGAACTGTTCAGAAAATTGATATGTGCGAGTTTTAACTGAGGAAAAACAAAAGAAAGATTACTTTTAATTGTAGTCACTTGTGCAATCTTGTTCACCATGAGATTGCACAAATGCTGGTACAAGCAGACAGGAGAGAACAGGCACAGGGCAGCACCGTTCCTGGGGGAATGGCATATGCTTATGTCAATTTAGAGTGATCATAAAATTACAGAGCAAGAACAAGAGGTTGTTCTATCGCTTCAGTGCAAAGTATCTGTCTCCTAGGCCTGAAACAGGACTAGGAACAGAGGGGAAAAGGAATAGGTCGCTCCAAGGAAGAGAAACAGCGCTTCCAACTAGAGCTGCTGATACTCCATTAGGCTATTCCTAAGTAATTCCAGAAGTACTTGCAGTCACTAGCATTAGTGCCGATTGTTACTGGGCTCTTCTGGCACTGAGGGTGAACTGTCTTGAGATTACAATGCTACAGGCATGGTCTGGTTCAGTCACTGCTTTGGGACAGAATTGGAAGCATCTTTCACTTTCACTTCCTAAACAATCCATCTCTTCTAAGCAACAGCCCAGAAGGCCACTTGCGTATGCTACAAATGTAAGCAGGAAAAGGGAACAGGATAGGACTCATGCTATCACTGAGGAATATTTGGTTCTCAGAATTGAGTATTTTGTGGAGGATTCACATGACTAGCTCTGTCTAAACCAGGAAAAACAGTAGTTCAAATCCCAGCCAGTAGCTGATGCAGCTGAGCTACTCGTCTGTGCAACAAACACTACTTTAGAACAAAACCATTCTTCTGATTGGAAGGATGGGGCGTGAATACCAATCACTACCTGTTTCAACACACTAAATAGGTCCACTGGTGTCGTTCCCTTGGAGACTTGAGCTGACACTGCCTATTCTAGTAGCCAAGGACTGAGTAGTACACCATCAAAATATTAGTCATAACCAAAGGAGACCCCATGCTACCCTTAAGTCCCACCTTTGTGACTACACACACCAACATACACTGGAAGTACATACATGGTTGTGAAACTATGTCTGGGGTACACACCCGAAGAAATGTCAGTACACCTAGAGACCAGCTTCGCTACCTTATAAGCCCATCATTTACTTTAATTCATTTACCAAGCCTAAGCGTAAAAGCTTATCAATCACTATTATCATTAATTACTCCAAGGGAACACAGACAAAGAAAATAGTCCAGACAAATAGATCTACAATGACACTTTCAGGAACCACAAAGAGGGATTTGTGCCCATTCTGTATTATTAAGTATCACACATTCCTAATTTTTCAGTGAAGACTAATCCTATAGATGAATGCTTTAGAGGTAATAAATGAGGCAATAACTCTCATGGGAGATGGATAGGGAAGAACATTCAGTGCTGCATCTCAGCTAGAAATAATTTCTGTATTCAGTCATTGAGAAGAAATGCCTAGAAATGAAACACAGCACAAAATTGCTAAGGTACTCCCCCCAGGCAAGAAGCTTATACAGATCACCAATGACTCCCACTCTCATCTCTAGTGGTAAAATCAAATGGAAGAAGAAAAATGACAGGATGATGATTCAGTTGGTATCTTTCACTGCAGCTACACATGTTTAAAATAACAACACTGGAAAGCTAAGAAACAGCAAAACACCGAGTTCTCTTCTGCAGAGATAATGCTACTGTCTCTAAGTTGATGGAGCTGAGGAAAGGAACAGAGACAGCCACTGAAGTCTTTTCAGGTCCCTAAGACCAGCTGAAATATGCCACCTTAACTGAATCAAACAGCATCAAGCGCCCAGAAGAATAAACAGCTTTGGTTAAGCTGCACAGCAGAACTTGAGGAGGAAATGTCTCTTGATAGTGTTCTGCCAGAGCTGCTGCCACAATATCCCTGCACAATTTTTGGACCAAAAAGTCAAAGATGTTGTTTTACACTCTCTCCAGCTACCCAAAGGTATATCATCCCAGTGTGACAGAGCACACAGTTTCCTTCCTTTTCCAATATCCAAGAACATGAACTTTTTTGCATCATTACACACAAGTTTTTACTTTCATACAGGACTGTGAAAACAGGTGACTAGCTAATTCCCCACCACCACCCTGTATAACCTGCAAGAAGTTATACAGCAGACAGCTGAGCCTGAACACACTTAATCTTGAAAACACATAGTATGCACCCAGTGTAGCAGAAAACAAAGAAAAAAAGAGGTGAAGGTTAGTCATGGTTAGAACAGCTACTGAAAGAAAAGTTAGTTTCCAGTATTGCTAAGACTAATAAACTTTCAACTGTAAAAAAATTATCATATTAAGTAACTTTTCAAACTCTTTCTCTTCGTTTTTAGGTGAAAAAAAAAGCTTAAGCAGACACTATTTACACAGCAACAGATTAAAAAAATACACTTTAAGATAAACAGGTTGTAGCAAGTGTGAGGATAACAGACTAAGGTTGGCAAACTGCTTCACACAGGGATTTAGTGAAATCAACTTTATTTTCATTACGCTAAATAGATTAGAAGGCCAGTAAGCTCAGACTTTACACCTTCATACATGCAAAATTATTCCTGTCACTACATTGCTTTCTATGATAGACAGACTTAAATTAGAAACAAAGTACATATTTTTAAATAAAGCCAGCTAATCACTGGCAGAAAATGGTAGATTTTCTTTACTTCAAATATTTAAATATAGATTAGCTGTCTTTCTAAGACAACTATTACAGTTTAAACATAATTTATGAGCTTAATGCAGCTATGATTGGATATAATTTGACTTTATGAAATGTCACTTCTCTACAGGACACCAGACTTAGATAACATTGAAGTCCATCAGATTTTGAAGCCTATTAACAGCGTCATGTATCAGACAAAGGTATACCATTATTTTACACTGACAATTTATATACATTTCTAATCTCCTAGTTTTAGTTATGACTGTTTAACAAATGGAGAGGCGGGGAAGTTAAACCTTAGAATTAATCAGGGATCAGCTGAGAAATTGATAGGGCATTGCAGAGACCATTCCTCACATGCAACCAGCTTAAGTACTCTGATGAAAGAGTCCCATGGAATTTCATTCCACCAAGCTCACGTGCTGCTCTCTCTTTATCGCAGCCTGACCAGTAATCTCACCAACTGAATTACAGCTCTGATGAGTAAACGTTTAAAACAGCTCTAGACTGCAATATCTGTAAAACTCTCATGTAACTCACTGTTTGTCCTGGTGGTCTTTGTCTCATTTTTGAGGTAGCCACGTGAGTCGGTTTTTCTGTGGTGATTTCTCAGCTCTGAATTAGCTCCATTCAGATACAGAGAAAATCCTTGTTCTAACTGCTCCAGTTTGATTTGTATTGCATCCTTTCTTTTTAAACGTCCCAGTAGCCTGAAGTAGAAAGGATCATAATTCATCCTTACGCAGGGCACACGCAGATGGTCAGATCGGCAATAAATACAAAATGTCACACACAATGTCACAAATCTGAAAAATATGTTCATAGTCCAAATAACAATTTCAGAATACAGCTTCCAGGACCTGTCCCTGTTCTGTAATGCTTGTATGAGTACGCAGTTTGACCAAGACTTTCCCTTCTGAGATTTCTTCCATATTATTTCTCATTTCACATTATTTTTTCCATTTGGTATTTAGTATATTTAACCTTTCTCCTTGAGTTTTAATTAGAATTTCAAAAAGCTTAAAAATGGTTGAGCTCTTTTCAAGAAAAAAAAGAGACTGTGTTTTGAAACTTGACTGGGAAATAGTGCAGTCAAAAATACCAGAAAATTAAAGTCTGGTTAACATAATATTAAAAAAACGCCCTTCCCCAGGCTCAGTTTCAGTGAAACACCTACCCCCCTCTTCCAAGTCTCCCCTTCCCTCCTTTCGCCATGGGTTATACTCAGTCCATGCTAATTCCTTCCGTGAGGTGCCACAACGGCCAGGAGGTTGGGACCATGTGGGTGACAATTTCCACCTGCCCCTGCATGCTGCTTCCTGGTTTCCCTCTGACTCCAGGGTGGGTCAAACCACAGGCCAAAGTGCCCCAGGGGCGCATCTGCTCCAGCGCGAGTCACCCTCTTCCAAGAGTGTGTCCCTAGCCATGTCCCCAGCACTCCTCTAGGCAGCATGCCTCCGCAGAAGCACCCCGCCCCCCACAGCCACCACTCTTAAATCCACCCGGGCCTACTCTGCCACCCCTGCTACCCAAAACTGCCGGTGACGTTCACAACACTCGAATGCATCCAGAGTGTCTCTTCTGAAAGGAACAGTTGCCACCTGCTTGTCATGTTGTAATTCGGTGGCATTTGTTTCCACCAAAATTAAGAATTAGAGCTCTGATAATAAGGATGAAAGTTGCTTCAATCATGAAATAATTTGTTTTTATCCTTTTCCAAAGCTGCTTTAGGAGATTATATACAAAAGAAACCTGTGTTCACAAAACCAAGCTTTTCTAACACAGCTGTGACTTTTGTAGGTTTTTTAGGTCTTTTCACCAAACCATTCAGTTTGTTATACAATTTGAGTAAAAATGGCTTGTGGTGAAGGGGGGAATCCATCAAGAAAGTTCTGTAGACCCTTCTGAATTAACCTATGAAAATCATCTGTTTAGGGTACAATGACAGGCAGGTCCATATGAACAAAGATTAAAAGAAATGTTTTAAACATGCCTGAAAGATACTAAAGTTTGCAAAAGGAACCTAGGTGTCCTTATCTCCCACCTTGGCAGAACCTGACTTTGCACATTTAACTTCAGCAACTTTTGCATGCCATTTTCTGTATTTCTGACACCATAAAAACCTCGCCTCATAACAACATCCTCACACTGTGTGAGCTGCCAATTACTTCTGACGCTAGAACTTCTTGCACTATAAACAAAAATCTTCCCTGTAAGCTAGGGAAACAGTAACTACTTCATTAATAAATTTATCTCTATTTTAAAGAAGAAATATTGTGATCTCGTCTAGAAATATGACCTTTGACATACTTAGCAAAGAGAAGAAAAGAGAATCGCCTGCATGTTTTAAGACATGGCAAGTCAGGCTTTGCATCACAAGTTTAAAAACCAAGTTTTTAAACTAATATTCACAACTGCTGATATTAGATACCATGTTAGTACACAGCAGATACTACATACTTAATGGTGGTAACGATTTTGTGTCTTACCGGTTTCTCTGCTGAAGGGATATTAAATATTCATCATGTTTTTCATCAAAGTCAGTCAACATGTCCTTAACATAAAGCTGAAATGAGAATATAAATGTCACACTGACGTATTACTACAGAGTATTACTGGTTTTGCACCCCCAATAGACAAGAATGCTATTAACTGAAAACGGTTCCTCACTCAGCAAGCGTAAAACTGTCAGTGTAGTAAATAAAGTTCCTGAAGAACAGAGGAAACGATACTTGTTGTACTTATTTTTCAGAACCCTTCACAATCTACTGAAGAGCCTAAAATACTAAAAATGGAAGGCATATACTATAATGAGTTTATAATCCAGGGACTGGCAAGCAAGTCAGTTCCATGGCATAAACTGAAAGGGCCATGCCCAAAGCCCAGCTGCAGGATGATACCCCTGAATGGGTACCACTCAGGAGGCCAGTTAATTCTAGAAGTTATTTACTGCAGAGGCTGGATACATTTCAAGCATTTAATTAAACATTCTACCTTGCTTGCCTCTCAGGAAACACAAACTTTTCCAGCAATTCCCACCATGCATCCCAGAGCTGCTGCTGCAAGCTGTGGCAGAGTGCCCTCTCGTACGCTCAGAAGTTTAAGCTTGCCACCAAAACACTTCATTTAGTTCTGCACCAAGAGAAGAAACCCCCTGTGTTGTCTCTCACCGACTGCAGAGTATCTCTGCTACAACACTGCCCCTTCCCGCGCCCTCGCTGAGGTAACGCCGCGCCGGGGCTGCGCCGACCGCTCTCCCCAGCGACAGA